AGGTTAACTCCCCAGTATTCAAGGTTAGGCATGTTAGGTCCAGATTTATCATTGGTTGGATTCACAGTGCTCTCTGGATGTGGGCGAATTATAATTTCCAAACTCATGGGTTAATCCTCTCAAAACTGCCAGTATTTAAAGTTGGTCATGTTAGGTATATATGCGAAGTTTGGTTAAGATTAATTGTCAGTTGGGTTCAAAGTGCTCTCTGGATGTAGGTGAACTATAACTCACAGTATCCAAGGTCAATAATCCCCAAACACTGTCAATATTCAAAGTTGGTCACAATTGGGGGGGGGAGGGGGAGTGCCAAGTGTGGTCCAGATCAGTCATTGGCTCGGTTCACAATACTCTCTGAATATGGGTGAACTATAATTCCCAAAGTTCAAGGTCAATTCCCATTAAACCCCATCAATATTCAAAGTTGCCTGGGTAAGTGTGCCAAATTTGGTCCAGATCCATTGTCAGTTGAGTTGAGTGCTCTCTGTATGTGGGTGAATTATAACTTCCAAAAACAAGGGTCAATCCCCTGAACCCCTCCAGTATTGTCCTTTGGCTATGGGGGTGGGCAGATCTATTGACAGTGGGGGGGGGGGATCATAGGGCTCTCTGGAAGTTAGAGCCATCTCGGAAATCACCCACAAACATAGACACATACTCTGCCATCCACATAAATATTGTATGTGGATGGTTTGGTCCAGATCCATCATTGATTGGTTTCAGAATTCTCTCTGGATGTGGGTGAACTATAAATCCCAGATTCTAGGGTCAGTCCCCCCCCCCCAACTCCACCATTATTTTCTGTTGGTCATTGTGGGGGTGGGGATGGGCTCTGTGTGTCAAGTTTGGCCCAGATCCATTGTCAGTGGGAGGTCACAGTGCTCTCTGCCAGTAGAAGCTTTCTTTGCCCACAAACATACAAACTTCGACTTTGTATGTATATATGTATGTATGTGTGTGTAGAGAGAGAGAGAGAACTTGTAAGTGGGGAAAATACAATATTATTAAAATGTCCATGCAACATAAATTTTAGTTTCATACAGAAATAATATTGGAATGTTTATTATATTTTCAAGCTAATATTGGAATATTTATTATATTTTCAAAAAGTTGTTACATTTTTAACATATTGTCTAATGTTGAAAGCTCCCACTTGCCACTGACATTCAGAGTAGTCTGCCACTGCCTATCACATTCAGGTGGCTGCAAATCCAAAATCAGAGCAGCGAGGGGATATTGTTATCCAAAAGTTATCCAAAAGAAAACAACTTTTTTTTCCCAAGCTCTGGTGAAGAAACGTTGCAACATCATGTTACAGATCTAACTACTCCTTCTCTTTTTTAAAGAATTATAATACTTTGTTTATATATATGTGTGTGTGTGTGTGTGTGTGTTTTTGCATAACCCACATAGGTAAACTAATACCATTTAAACAAATAAATAAATCAGTGACTACTGGGTTATAGACAGTTTTTCATTGTGGCTTAATGATTGCCAACAGAGCAATAGTTATTATTCCAGGGAATACACAGATTTTAAACAGATTTGAACAACCACTGTGGTTTCTTTTTAAACATTACATTGAAAGATATTTGGATTTAAAATTTCAGTTCAAGGATTATCCCGTATCAAGTATCAGAATTTTTAAAGTATTAGCATATTATTATAATGTGAATTTTGAATTTTGTGTGTGTGTGAGGCAACACTTTCAATGTATCTTTTCAGTTTTCTGTAACTTTGTTAAAGCAAACCATATATTATATTACTCTACAGTGCCATATAAAATACAGATTATCTTCTTTGAACTGGATTATGTGGCAGTGTAAACTCATATAATCCAGTTCAAATCAAATAATCCAGATTATTTACTTTGATAATCTGGATTATATGGCAGTGCAGATCCAGCCTTGCTCTCTCTTAGGTGCACACACATGTAGTTAGTTCAGTCACATTTCAGTTTAGTTTAGTTCTCAGACATACACATCTTTTAAAATAACCTATTTGGCAAAAGCCTTTCCAGCTACTCACCAGTTTCAGCAGTGTATCCTTGCTTCTTTGAGATCCTAGCAAGACTATTAGCATCTCCTTCTCACGACTCTAAAGCTTTAGTTATGCACTGCTTTACCTGTGGCAGCAACACCCTTTTACATTAATAAAAGGTTGCTGTTAAGCTATGTTATACTTACTCCACCTGATCCTCCTACACAGGTAATGCTGCCAAACTAGGATAGCTCCCTTAAGCCAATCACATTCCATGGGCATCTTATGAGGAAGTACTTCTGAAGAGTCTCTCGTCGTCACTAAATTCACTTTTGCCATCACAACATATTACAGCAGGGAATAGCTCTACTAGTAGAAGTGACTCAGATTTCAGGGGGGAAACCACTATCTGGACTTGCTGAACTTCATGTGCCTGCGGGTTGTTAATGTAGGTGTGAGAGTCTGGCTTTAGAGATATAACAATGAGTAACATTACTGGATTTATGAGACTTTGGAGATGACTTATTACATTGAGGTGAATGAAAATGTCTTGCAAGTTTCAAACTGACTGTCCCATTCATATTTGTGTACCAAATATGAATGGGACAGTCATCTTGTATTCTAATCTGGTATTATTGTCCTTTGCCAGATGCAAAAACATCTGTGATGCAAGAGAGGCAATCTCCTCCTGCTTCATAGTACTTCAGTGAATTTTCCTGGCCTATTGTCTAACCTTCTCTTACAAATCTGATGAATTAATCAGGGATGTAACAAAAGGGCTGTAATGCTCCTTAATGTTTACAATGTTAGATTTTAAGTTTTGGTTCTCCTGATTTTCTGGACTTCAGGTCTCAGTAGCTCCTGTTAGCGAGGAGTTGCTGAGGCGCCTTCTAATCAAGTGAAAGAAGAAAGTGCAGAAGCTGAGTTTTAGTTAAACATAAAAAAACCCCCAAGAATCTGGCAACTGGACTGATTGATAACTGGAAAATAGAGGGAGAAAACGTAGAGGCAGTGGCAGACTTTGTATTTCTAGGTGCAAAGATTACTGCAGATGCAGACTGCAGCCAGGAAATCAGAAGATGCTTACTTCTTGGGAGGAGAGCAATGACCAACCTTGATGAAATAATGAAGAGTAGAGACATCACACTGGCATCGAAGATCCGCATAGTTAAAGCAATGATATTCCCTGTAGTAACCTATGGATGTGAAAGCTGGACCATAAGGAAGACTGAATGAAGGAAGATAGATGCTTTTGAACTGTGGTGTTGGAGGAAAATTCTGAGAGTACCTTGGACTGCAAGAAGATCCAACCAGTCCATACTTCAGGAAATAATGCCCAGTTGCTCATTGGAGGGAAGGATAGTAGAGGCAAAGATTAAGTACTTTGGCCACATCCTGAGAAGACAGGAAAGCTTGGAGAAGACAATGATGCTGGGGAAAATGGAAGAAAAAAGGAAGAGAGGCCAACCAAGGGCAAGATGGATGGATGGTATCCTTGAAGTGACTGGCTTGACCTTGAAGGAGCTGGGGTGGTGATGGCTGACTGGGAGCTCTGGCGTGGGCTGGTCCATGAGGTCACGAAGAGTCAGAAGTGACTGAAAGAATAAACAACAACAACAAGCCCCCATTAACATAGCATTGATTAGAAATTATAGGCTGTGAAATAAAAAAAAAGTCTGGAGACCAAGAAGCTGGAAATAATTTCACTGTCTGATTTCACTGTCAGAAACCATGAGGCAATGGGATGTCGGATGAAGGATCAATCATTTTCATTCCCTTTTCTTTATTTTGTCTAAATTTTATTTCTACATACTCAAGTGAAGTTTTAAAGTATTGCAATGCTAGAAATGTGTGTACTGAGGGAAAATTTCATTGAGGGCAGAATTCCTGAGGCACTGTCCTCATTTTGCTCCCCATTTTACACTCATAGCCTGTCATCTCTGTCTCCAATCAACTTAGATGCAACACAGGAGAATATATACATAATCAATTTCAATTATGAAATCTATACAAATTACAGGTTAACACCTCTATGGTGTTTGTTTTGCTGCTTGTGCCCTTGTTCAAAAGATTTCACCTTATTTTCTGTCCCTGTGATAATTGGATTTTGAAAAAAAAAAGGCTTATTGTGGAAACAAGGATTGGTGAGAAAGCTTCAGTGGAGACCCCCCTTTCCTGTGATAACTCTTTCAGGAGTGAATTTCCTTTCCTAGGTAAAGACTTCTCTCACTTCCTGTTGTCTCACTCACATTTGTAACTATGAGTCGTTTGTAAGTCAGATGTTTGTAACTTTGGGACTGCCTGTAATCTTCTTTTCCTCTACACTTTAATTAAGTGGCTCTTATTCAGGCATGTTCAAAATCTCAGATGTATATTCTCATCTTATGGTCTGCTAAGTATGTATTCATTTATACATACAGAACTCTTCCTAAAGTTAAGTGAATGTTTGTGAACAAAATAATTTGTGTTTAATAAGAGATCACATGAGTCTTTGAAAATAGATTTAAAAATGTAAAAAATCTTAATTTCCTATGTATTTTACAGACAACATGGAGTATTTTTCAATATCATTGACATGTGGGAATATAGGAAGCACTGGTGAAATCACTGATGTATTCAAGCATATGATATTACAAAATTCTATTTACTCAGCCACCTTGAATCTCATTATGGAGAAAAGGCAGAATATAAATTTCATAAATAATTTATTAAATAAACTTAAGTTGCATTTTATTATAAAGTTTATTTGAAAAGTGTATGTTAATAAACAGATGTGCAAATCAAAATGGGTATATAAACACATTTCGTATAGGTAGTAAAACATAGCATTTGCTTATGAAACATTTCAACTTTACTAATGCTAGTATATGCTAGTCAAATAACTAATACAGTTCTCTCCATTTCCTCTGAATTAGGTTACTGGTTTGCTAGCTTCCCAGTGGAACATTCCCACTTTTGGATTTGTTGGCCACACTGCCATACTGGATGATTCAGTGCTGTATGACACCTACGTCAATCTTGTTTCCCCTTTGCAAATGATAGGGCAAGTACTGCAGAAAACACTTCAGTTTTTTGGTTGGAGATATGTGGGTCTCATGGGAAGCTCGAGTGATGTCTTCACTTGGGCTGAAATGGATGAATTGTGGTCATCTGTAGAAAACCAGCTCCAAACTAACATCACAGTCACTGCTAAGGTGAGGTACAATACAAAAAATCAAGGACTCCACCAAGAAAAGCTCAGCTACATAACATCTGTTGCAAGAAGTAAGTCTGTTTTTTTTCCTATTAAAAAGGTTTAAAACAAATGTCTTTGAGCTTTTTCAAATTCAGAAAGTATTGAGGTACAAAAAAATCTAGTCCATTATCTTGTTTTGAAAAAGAAGGCTTAGTTTTTCTTCAAGTTATTTCAGATATATGATGAACCTATCACAGGGTTTTCTCTACATGATTTTCCTTTGCCTTCCTCGTAAGGCTGAAAGAATGTTTTACACAAGGTTACCCAGTGAGTTACCATGGCCAAGCAGGAATGTAAACCTTGTTCCTATGTTTTAGCTCAGTGATTCTTAACCTGTGGGCCGTGGACCACCAGTGGTCCTCTGCCCACCATTGGTCCACGAGCCTCCTTCCTCTTTATTTTATTTTATTTTATTTCCATTCCTTTCACACCGCCTGCCACTCCTTGCCTATCACTGACAATGGTATATGTTCTGTATCAGAAACTAGAGCTGATATGGTCTGTCCAATGCAATTTTCTGAATCAGCACCCCAAAACCAAATCTAAAGTTGACCAAAAACTGATTTTTAACCCTTTTGGTACTAATGTTGGAGAGTGGTCCCTGGTCAAAAAAAGGTTGGGAAGCACTCTCCTAGCCCAATGCTTAAATCACTACACCATGTTGGCTCTTCAGAAGAAATGAAGAAATACTTGGAAAATGATTCATGCCCATCAGTTCTGCACTATGCAAGTGTTGAATAAAATATAAAGACACCCGAGCAGTCTTCTATTCCACAGTATGAGTTCCTTTTTCTCCTTGTAGCTCACCTCAATCCATTTCCAATTTTTTCCACAATGGCTTGAAAGATAGCAGGAAAAGGGTGAAATTGCCCCTTTCCTATTCAACTGAGAGAAGCTGTTCTGTTGATGTGAGGGACTAACTGTACATAAAAAAAATATTCATTTTATAGCAATGAGTTTATGGCTTCTGTGTCCCATTTCCTTGCAAAGGACAATTTGATTAGCAGACACAGGTATTGTCCAACATAATTTAAAAAGTAATGTTTTATCTGTAGATGTTTTCAAATATTAAGGAATTCAATTCTATCTCCACAAGTAAAAAAGGAGAATGGAACAGAATCTGAGGGACAAAGCCACAATTCTTGGCTGTTTATTGCAATGTTTCTTTCCCACATATCAACTGTTCATGTCTTTCAATAGATCTAATCATTGGTGTTTTCTCACCAGAACTGTTTTATGTGATGTGTTGATATTGAGTGGAAAAAAAGTATTGAATTTTTATTGTTTAAGGCTTTCATGGCTGGAACCACTGGTTTGTTGTGGGTTTTTTGGGCTATATGGCCATGTTCTAGAACCATTCTCTCCTGATGTTGTGAGGTCTGAGGATGCTTGCCATAGATGCAGGTGAAATGTCAGGAGAGAATGCTTCTAGAACATGACCATATAGCCCGAAAAACCTACAACAACCCAGTATTTAATTTGATTTGAACTATCTTTTTTTTTTCCAACAAGGTTGTATTAAGTGAGACAAGAATATTTAGTTTAATTTATGGTCATTTCCTGATCTTATACACCGTATTTTGATTATATGTATCATTAGGTTATTGTTATGTGTTGCATTATTGCCTGTTCCTGTTTAAATACTATCTTATTAATCTCTTTTAATTAAAATGGAATAGCAAAGGAAATTTTCGGGTAATTCTATGACCTGAAATGCATCTTAGCAAAAATTCTGTATGTAGATGATTTTCAGGAAACAAAATGGTCTGATTGTATGTTACCAAACATTTCTAATGATCTTGCTCCTGCTCTTCCAGAATACCCAGCTCTACAGAAGAGAGTGGGTGTATTTCAACTTCTCATGTTTTAGTCATGTGATTACACAAGGCTAATATGTGTAGTTATCTCCCATTTGTAATAAGATAGAAACACATACCTTTGAAAACAGAGACAGCGTTCTGGCCCTTTTCTTTTATCAATAATAGAATTATGTTACATTATTGCATAACAATGACATTATTTGTGCTTCAGACATCTTAGTTCTAAAATTTATTTAATTTGGAGGGATTTTCAAAGGCTCCAAACTTTGCTTTCATCCTTGAAGTGCATTATTTTTATTTTAGTATCTAGTAGCATACAAAAATCTTATGCAAAGATTGAAGTTTGTTTATGAAAATAATAATAATAATAATACTGATTTTAGTAGGATTCATCCTACTGAAAAAATGGTTTCAGTGTACATTAATAGGAAAGAAGGAACAAATAGAAAAAAAGTTGTACTACTTCAATATATGGCACACATTATCACAGATGCAATTCTTATTTCCAGGGAACAAAATAGTTTCTTAATGCAAAGCAATATTTAACAGCAATTTTAAATTATGAATGAATTACTCTGGCATTATCCATTGCTTACTTGCTTACAAAGGTATTTCATTATTATAGGTATTTCATTATTATCATCGGTCCTACACATTTGTGAGTTTAATTTTTGCAGATCTGCTTATTTGCAGTTGATTAATATATTGTCTTAAGAATTGTTCGGTCCTCCAGGGCAATTCTATGGTGGAAGTTGACCATAGAGTCACACTGGGGAACCTAGAGATTCCTAGAGATGCATTTTAAGTTTTAAAAATCATTTTTAAAATTTGTGTTTTTTATCACTTTTACAGGGGTCCTACATCCCTAGCCCCAATGAAAGTGGAGGACCAACTGTAGCTAGTTGCTACAACTGACTTGATTTGGCTTGTAGATTGCCTTGTCAGATGTGTGAGAATTGATCACATTAAATTCTCTTGCAGTTATTGTTTTAATCTGCAGTTCTTCGGATGCAAGATCCATTTTGTTAGAAGCCAAAGAGCTAGGCATGACAAATGGGCCATATGTGTTTTTTGTTCTGCAGCAATTTGAGGTATGTATGTGCAATTAAGTATTTATTTTTATTTAATAAAATAAATAAAATTTGAAAACCTGGCTGTTCCAGTGTGCCTTTTCAGATTAGGAATTCTCCCAGTACCAAATCCCAGAAGCACTTTAGTACCCAAATCACCGCACACTGCACACCACACTTATATCATAATCCCACACCCCTCCGACACATCAGCACTTTTAATCTTGTACCCCTACTTCGGCCAACTCAGTTTTTAATAATGTTTTGTCGTATTGCCATTGTTATTGTTTTTCTGCTTAACTGTTTTATTTGCTAGATGTTATATTGTTGTATTGTGTTGGGCTTCGGCCTATTGTAAGCCGCATCGAATCCTCCGGGAGATGCTAGCGGGGTACAAATAAAGTTATAATAATAATAATAATAATTTTTTATTTACTGTATTTGTATACTGCCCCTCTCAGCCTTCCGGTGACTCAAGGCAGTTTACAAGTCAAATTATCCATTCCTTGTCTTGTTATGTCCCATCAGTTTCCGTGTACAATGATTCTATGAATGAGAGACCTCCGGGAGTCCCTGGCTTTAATCTGCTCATGTCTTGCAAACTCAGAACTGTGGATTCCAATATTGGTTTAATCCACCTCTAACATAACCTTCCTCTTTTGCTTCTGTCTTCAACTTTAATTAGCATTATTGTCCTTTCCAATGAGCCCAGTCATGATATGTTCAAAGTACAATAACCTTAATGAGAGGTTAGACTTGATCTGATCTATGACACCTTCATCTGTCTTTTTGGTAATCTGTGGTATGCAGATAATTCTCTTTCAGCACCACATTTCAAATGGGCTCATTTTGAATTCCCACCGTGAAATAAAGAGGCCAGGCACAAGAACACCCTCAGGACATCCCTGTGTGAGCACCATAAATCTTGAGAGCCACCCAAAATATTAGGCTGGACATCTTGGCTGATCTTGCCTGAAAGGCTGTCCTGGGGGTGCTCATCCCAAGCCTCAGAGGTTTTTTTTAAAAAAGTGAGAAAACCCTCATTCTAGCTCCAAGGCAAGTCCCCTTTTATTGCTTCTGAGCCACAAAATCTAGAGAGAGTATTATGGAACCCACCCTTCACCTACAAATGGCGGTGGGGGGGGGGGGATGACTACCAGCACTATTTAATCTTTAACATGCTGTGACACCCTATTTTTTTAAAAAAAAACAACAACAAAACACCCAAGAGCCACTTGGAAGGAAGAAACGTCTTGCTCAACCCTAATGCTACCAGTTTGAATGCTACCAGTTTGAATGAGGGTAGGAATGGGGCAGCTTTGCCTTAAATAGGCTCCTGTTCCAGACCTCATAATGTGAACAAATGTAGGTTTCCTTCCTGGGGATATTCAATCACATCCCCCCCCCCCCCCCCTGTGTCTTATGACTTTGCTTGTTAACTGCAGATGGGACTTTTGGTGATTATTCCAGCTTTCACAACCATACATTGAAATTTGAAATACAATGATATGGAAGGATCCTGAATCTGGAATTGTAGCCAGTGAGATTTGAGGGGAATGCTAGGGATTGTAGTCACCACTAAACACTATAGTAATTCCCTTTGCAAGTGAAGGGATACTCTAGAGGCCCTATCAAAGGAAAACTTCATGCTTTATAATTGTCTCAGATGTATCTGAAGTAACGATAATTGAATATCTCTAGAACTCTGTTAGTAGAAATAAAAATCCCTTATCTGAATAATGAACATTTATTACTAGCTGCATTGTCTTCCAGGATAATTTTTTTAAAGAAACTTGGACTAATGAGAACAGCAACATCCTAGATGCCTATCATCCTGTATTTTTGATAGCCCTCCAGTCTTACAGGGAATATAAGACCTATTCTGATTTTGTGAACGAAGTCTATGACAAGCTGAAGGATAAGCAACCTTCTAGTTTTATTTCTACACAAGAAGAGGTAATATTCACAATAATGCGTTGTGAATGTTTAACTTTTAATTGTTTAAAATTTTAGCACAAAAGAGTCCCGAAAAGGGGCCATCAAAGAAATCGTATTGATTTTTCCATTTTTCTTCAATATTATTTGTTACGACCAAATCTGTAGTGCTGTTTATGGTTTCTAAAAAACTTCTGGTGAAATCATCAGAAATTTTCCAATGTAAAAAAGCCCTGGTATCTCTTTGGTGTATTCATCTTTAATATTTACTAGTTTTATTGTATTGTATGTATTGTGTAACCATTTCTGAATTATGAATACCCCAAGATGAATCTATGAGGGGGCTCCTTAGCAAGATTTGTCGATATTGTCACCAGATTTCAATTTTTTTGAATTAATACATTCTGAGGGAGAAAATGTGGAACATTATTTTTGAATGACCCTGACAAATTACAGAATACTCCCCAATTGTCTCAATTTGGCAGGGGCAATCTCAATTAATCCTCTGTTGCCCCCCCCCCCCCTTTTTCAGCTGCTTTGTAAAAAAAACGCATTTTCCTCCTTTCCTCCAGTTACTTAATCGAATTGTTGGAAACTAGGTTCGCAGTATAGAAGCTCACAAATATAATTTTTCCACAGGTAAGTTCTTATGCTCCCTACCTGCATGATGCAGTCTTGCTGTATGCATTAGCCATAAAGGAAATGTCTGAAAAGAAAAAGAATTTCAGTGATGGAAGAGCACTTGTCAACACTTTGAAAGGCTGCAATACAACGCTTGTGTATGGTAGGTTTGGGAGTTAAGACTGCCTGAGCACATGGGAGGGCCAGTAACTCTGGGGCAGATTAATTACTATGAATGCAGAAGGACATCCTAGACATTCACTTCAAGCAGGGGAAGGAAACTTTTTGTGAGACCACCATCATACAAGTTTAAGACATGGGTTAAGCTGTTGATTGGGATATAATCAGAGTGAAACAACAACAACAACTTTATTTTTATATCCTGCCACTATGTCCTCAAAGGGACTCGAGGTGGCTTACAGGCATCACAGAGTTCCTAAAAACAAACATAAAAGTGAACACAATGTAAAATACAATAAAATATTAACACATGCACATATAAAAACATCAATTCAGAATGCAGCTTGGGAAGGAGATTTTTTTTCCCTGTTCCTTCCTTATAGTAATGATACACGAAATGTGGTGAATATTCTAATACTCATATTTTGAATATCTTTCTTGTTTAGGCATTACTGGTCCAGTGCACATTGATGAATCAGGTGAGAGAAACATGGATTACTCTGTGTATGATCTCCAGGACTCTGGCAACTCAAAATGCTTCCTTCCTGTTCTTAACTTTGATAGTTTCAGTAAAACACTCAGGTAGGTCTCTGCGTGTTTATGCACATGTGGTTTGTCGTTTTAGCCTTTGTATGATAGATTTAGCATGCAAAGATCAATGTGATTTGAATGTAATTCATCCCTTGAAAGTAAACCAAATTCTACAGTGCCTCTTCTACAATCCACTCTTAGGACCTCATCACATTAGAGAATTTTAGCATCCCAGGACACTTGGAGAACACTGGGAGGATGGAGCCTGTCAGATGCCATCAGATGATGCACAGCTACTTCAGGCAGGGCTCCATTCTTCCAATGCTCTGACAGCATGCTAGGACGCTTCCCAGATAATATGGAAGGCTTCCTGTGTTCTTAAAGGAGAAAACAGGGTGAGTTTGAGGGAGAATCTGGGCAGCAACACTCTCCCCCCAACCCTTCATGGGATGGTAAGGGGGCGATGGGTTCCCATGCTGTCCACCAGAATCCCTCCACTATTGCTGCACATTGAACCTCAATGTGATGAGGTTCTTAGATGTGATTCTCTATCAGCTATCAATCCATACATCTGAACAGATTAGGCTAGTTTTTTTTTTTGGTGCCTTCAGGATGTTTATAGCAATTTCCCATGACTTTCAGGAAAAGAAGAGTGTTGCAATTATCTTCATCTGAGACTGAGAGTGTGACTTGCCAAATTAAATATACTCAAGAAACCAATTAGCAATATGGTTGCCATTACTGAGCTTTTAGTTTTGTTTTTTGTTTTTGTTGTTGTTGTGCTAAACATTGAAGGGTCAGGAGGTTGCATTCAGGTCATCTGGTCTGACCAAATTGTTCAATACAGGAAATTTAGAGATAGACTGCCCCCAGAAGCACACTGTTCACTCTCTTCTTGAAGACCTCCATTAAGAAGGAGTGCACCACCACTCGACATAATTTGCCTTATTGTACCCTCAGGACAATTCTTCTACTGTTCTGCTGAAGTCTATCCCCTAATAACTAACAAACATTACATATAATCCTAATCTTCAGTGGAGTAAAAAGGAAGTCTTCTATGTGACACCTCTTTAGATATTAGGTCCCCTCTCTTATCTTCTTTTATTCAATCCATAAATAGTTTTTCAACTTTCCACTTTGCCCATATGTTTTTCAGCAGTGTCCTAAGTAAATACTGTATGTGAAATGTTTGTCTTGTTTAATGTGCCTGTAGCCCAACCACAGAAATTAACAGCATCAATTGGTCAGATGGAGAAATACCTGAAGACAAACCACCATGTGGGTTCCACAATGAACATTGTAAACCTCCAGTTGTTAGTAAGTGTGATACTATCAGTAAAACAGGCATTGTGAGAAGAAGGAACAGATAACTAGAGTGATTTAATCATTTTTAATTCAAAAGTCTGAAGTTTTTTATTGCAATTTTAACTGAGACTTAACTTTGCTCAAGAAGTGAGGGAATAATAGAAGTTGTAGAAGAGGGGAAACCATCAAGTTGGAAGAGACCACATGGGCCATCTAGTCCAACCCCCTGCTATGCAGGAAAAGCACAGTCAAAGTAGTCTTACTTGCATTATGTTGAAGGAACAGGTAGGAAGGGTGACTTATCTGCTACTGTCAAATTATTCTGAACTCTAAGGATAGAGGTAGGAAAAGTACAAGGTGTAGGAAGCCTGTTCCATTATCTTCCCATGGAATTTCAGGGGTGTGTGGGTATATGTCTTCAAGTCAGCTCTTATGATTGATTACTACATGAATCCCACAGGGTGTTCTTATGCAAGGAATTACTCATGAGAGTTTTGCCAGTTCCTTCTCTGAAATATAGCCTACAACACCTGGTATTCATAGGCAGTGTTTCATCCAAGTATTAACCTGATCTGACTCTGAATTGCTTCCAATGGGATCAGATGCCTTTAGAAAATTTAGGATTGGATTTCAGATAAATACCTATTTTTATCATACTATGCTAAAAAGTGTTTCTTGTCTGTTCTAGACCCACCTTAGTCCCCTTAATATGCATTTTAACTTTCAGATGCTTAGATTTTTCAGTCATGGTAGACTCAGACAGACAGTCTTCTAGTATTATAGATTATACTTCATTACTATATTAGAAGAGCCCCCGGTGGTGCAGTGGGTTAAAGCCCTGTGCCGGCAGGACTGAAGACTGACAGGTCGCAGGTTCGAATCCGGGGAGAGGAGGATTAGCTCCCTCTATCAGCTCCAGCTCCTCATGCGGGGACATGAGAGAAGCCTCCCACAAGGATGATAAAAACATCAAAATCATCTGGGCGTCCCCTGGGCAACGTCCTTGCAGACGGCCAATTCTCTCACAACAGGACACTCCTGACACGAAAAAAAAACTATATTAGATGTACAGTTCTAGCTTATGGATGTTTGTCCATAAGTAAATTTCATAATGTCTAACTGGTTGACTCCTTAATAAGTGTGTGTAATATTGCAGCACTATATTTCTAAATTAACAATCAGATCCTATATTTTCTAACAACTGTCCATTTGAAATAAGTTATATAGTACTTTAAGTATTATTGCCACACATGTCGTTTTTCTGGCCCTTCTCTCCACTCTTTTGCTAGTAGATTTGTTGACCTCACTGACTTAAAAAATACCCCACACCATTTTCTTACCATATATGTCATCAAGATTCAGCTCTATTGTCTATTCTGTAATTACTGGTTTTGTCCCTTATCATTAAAAGGCGCAGCCCTTATTGTTGTGATAATACTCCTGATAATGACAGCATTAGGAGCCATTGGTGTCACAATGTTTTTGAAGATCCATAAAGGCAGGCTTGAGAAGCAAATCGATCATTTATGGTGGAGAATTAATTATGATGACATCATCTTTTTTAATGATAATAAGGTAAATATTGACCTTTTATGATGTTAGTCCCATCAAGCTGACTTTATGACAAGACCTCCAAGTCACTCTGTCATCAACAAACCTGCTTAGGTCCTGCAGACTCAGGGATATGTCTTCCTTGATCAAACCAATCAATCTGAAAGCCATTCCATCTCGATTAAGCCATTCCATCCTACTGCCTTACATCTTACCAAACATTACTATATTTTCCAGCAAGTCATGTCTTCTTATAAACCTAAAGTATGACAATTTAGGCATCTTGGCTTTTAGAGAGAGTTCAGGCTTGATTTCTTCTAGGACCCATTTATTGTCTTTTTAGTAGACCATGGTAACCTGACTTACTTAAGAAGATATGTCATCTTAGTCCTTATCCCAATAACCAGTCTATTTCAGTAGGGCCTGAAGCCTCTTTTCACCACAAACCACACTGTCCATATAATCCAATAAAGTTTACTAAAAGCAGAGTATATAAAAGCAAATTAAAAAGAGATAATCAGAGTTCAAACGGTTATTTCCATAAAAGCCAAGAACCCTAAAATCAATTCAAAGAAAGTCTCCAAAGTCAATCCACAGAGATATCCAAAAACAAGGTAACATGAATCCATGGCAGGCAAACTATGCCACACAGGAACGGGAAGCAAGAACAGCTTAGAAACTTGAATACATGAATTCTAAGAACATAGGCTCCAAAATTCAAGAGCACTTTGCCTAATTTCAGCATTGTTCTCACAAAGATTGTTCTCACAAACCACTTTAAAAGCCCCAAATCCTCCCATTACATCATTTATCATACACCTGCTTCACCGCTCCTTATTTCTAATTCTCTGGGAAAACCGAGTCTGTCTTTGATTCATGCTGCGTCTCTGCAACTCCAGTCGCCTTGACCTAGACAAACATTCACCTCCCACATTTCTCTCAGTTTGCACTTCTGGTGAGTTCCAGTGGGAACGGATCTCACATTCTCTAGTCTCCTGAGAACTGCCAGGAGGTGATTCCAAAACAACTCTTTCTGGGTCTCTTCCATTCTCCTCTGGGCTCTCTGAATCTCTCCCAGCATCCCCTTCCTCCTCATCTGAACACTCAGAATCTGACCAGGCTACAACACAGTCCTAGTCAAGTGTCTACACCTTTTTGGATTTCTTAGTTACTTTCCAAGGGCAGCTCCATATAGACTATGTTACAATAATCCAGTGGGACAAAGCATATGCCACTGTGACCAAGATCCAATACCTTTAGCAAGACTGCAGTTGGTGTACTCCATTTAATTGTGCAAATAGTTGCTTGGCTAATTCTGAAATCTGGACACTCCTTCTGGAATGGTAGCCAAAATATTATCAAAGATTTTCAAGGGATAAGATGGAGGCACCATTTTTATATCCAAACCTGAAAAACTATTAGCAGTAGAAATGGAAAAATCCAGGTTTAAGGGCCTCATTATAAAGGCCAGGTGAAATATCCCACTTCACCTGGCAACCAGGAGAAAAGGGGGAGCACTGGGTCTAATCTGTTGCCCTGTGTGCAGCTCCCTCTTAGTGACACCAGCACAACACGGGAAGCCTCCCATGTTGGAGTGAAGGCATCTAGTGATGTCTTCACCCCGGTTGGGAGTGGGACTTCTGCTGGAACTCACACATCATGTGACGTCTGGTGTGGGGTTCCATCCTCCAAATGAGGTGAAAGCATCCTAAGATGCAGAATTCACCCCCATCTGATTAGGTCATAAGTCTGATATATTCAAATGACCTCATCTGTTGTATCTCAGGCTAAGATTCACCTTGCTATCTCTGACAAACCAGCCAAAATTGTGAGGTAGGAAGTTTATTGTGAGGTTTTCAAACAAAGCAGTTCATCAGCAGTGAAAAGATCAGTTGTACAAGGTAAAAATCCAATACAATCCCTTTGAGTCAAAGCAGGAGACTTGAAGCATAGRAGCAGARTAAAAGTCCAGGARATAGCATGAGGTAACGTGAAGCAGKCTTTYCCCCAAGCCCCWGAKCCGAWGRCMAGCAAGCCATTTYAGCAACGTTGGAACTGACRCMGAACCAGCTCCAAGGCAGTTTACTTATAGGTAAAACATCAAAACATTGAACATCAAACAGGSAGCTAACAARCAGTTTTCCCACCAACGGATGAGCTCAACACTTGGCCGCAATTCGTAAACTCCGTCTSAACACCTGCTGGGCAGCCTGRCCTTGATCCCCACCAACTRCCYTATCARCTACATTCCGTTCCTGTGAGAACAGCGGCTTGTCTCTAGCTACAGATTGTGACTGAGAAAACTGAAAGCCCACACCTGCATCTGTACTCTCATTCCCATCATGCTCATCTGCACTCTCAGTCCCATCATACTGTTGCTGTTGAACCACAACATCATCATACAGGGCTAGATTCAGCAACAAATGCCGATCTAGCCCTAGTCACCCACAGAGCTGGCCAGCTCCCATCAAACAACACTGTGCTAGCTCCATGGGTGCAGAGACTTCCCATGTCCCAGTATATGGGGGGATGCCTCACAAACCATGCATATTCCACACTTCCCCCATGTGATTGCCCTCCCAGCAATGTGAGCAATGTGAAGCATGGGCCGCTGGATTCCACACACCTTATGGTGAAGTAGACTGCCACCTCTTGGTGAGGTGGATAGTTTCTACAGCCATTGAGCCCTTTGAAGGCATTGTTTTGTCTATTTCCAAATTGTATCATAGAGGTCATGATTGTAGATGTTGTCATTCCTTAATCTAATGTATCAGCTCGTAAAATAGTTTGTGTTCTTATTAACAGGAAGTCTTTGATTTATCTCAAAGAAACACACCAGTGCCCAAAGAAACAGAAGACACTAGTTCCCATTTATTTCTTTCAAGCAATAATTTTTCTGGAATAAAGGGCAAACAAGATAGAGAAATGTTTTATACTACAGTAGGACTTTATCAGGTGTGTATGTAAACATCTAGAAATGGGTGCAACCCCTGGACATGCCTCATTTATTTATGTTAATGGTGTTTGATGTGTTTTGTGTTATTTTTATGTGAATAAGGCTCAAGTGTCTTAAAAGGTTCTTTATGTTGATGATATTAATAGAAAAAAGAATATACTATAGTACATGTACAATACAGAAATAATGCAGTTTGAAACCTGCCATGGCTCACTGCTATGGCATCCTGAAATCTGTAGTTTGGTGAGGCACCCACACTCTTTGGCAGAGGAGGCTAAAGACTTGGCAAAAGTAGAACCTTCATTATTTCATAGCATTGAGCCATCAATAATTCTATGTTATAGATGCATCCTCAATCATGTACCATTATTTCTAATACTAAATCCCCAGAACAGCTAATTTCAGTCAATTGCATAGAAACATCCTTAGTGTATCATCGAGTAAGGCTACATTAGTTATTTGTTCAGGTTAACAGATCTCACCTTCTTCTTCTTGCTTTTCTGCTTTAGGGAACTTTTGTTGCTCTCAAACACACTGATAATCAGACAGATAACTGGAAACTATCAGTCCTTCAGGAGATTCATATGGTATGCTTGACTTTTAAGCTTTTGCCACCACATTTGAATTGTAGGCTAGATATATCTGATCCAAGATACTGATTTGACAGTTACCTAATAATTTGTAACCCTGGAATGTGAAAACTTATATAACCATAAGAAAGAAAAGAATGTTTCTTCACAGATGTGATTTTTGTTAGAAAGTCTGTGCTATTCTGGCCTACCTAACCCATGGAATATCTGGGAAATCCAATCCCACCCTCCTGATTATTGGAGATAGCAAACACTTCCCAAAGCCATATAGAAGAATTCCTGCTGTTATGTCCACTATCAGAGATAGCAAGTCTTCTGTTTCTGCTGTGCTTCCCAACCTGATCAGATCAAGTAAAGATACTTCCAACAAAGGCATAAAATTTTCATTATGTTTCTTTTAAAATGAGTAATTTTATTCAATTTATTCCCACTGCAAGACAGTAATTGAATAGCCATACTATTTTCCAAGGCAATGAACAATTTAGGACATATTTTGCACATAATTCACACGTAGTTGTTTTGCATGGAAAATAGCTCTTTTTTGCAGGAAACAAAAGATTCTTGTTTCCTGCAAATTTTCTTTGCAAAAATGCAGCAATCAAGTATTTGTTTCGTGTAAAATTTGCACATCGTTGATTTGCATAGAAAATAGAATTTTCTGTATTGAAAATATTTTAATAAAGAAATACTAATTTGTGTACATAAAATGCTGCTTTCTGTAAAAAAAAACCCTTTTGTATGTAAATCAGTCATGTCCAAATTTTAAGTAGAACAACTCTCCTATTACAGAATTTTCTGCTAAGAAAATGTAGTCACATGCAAAACTGTAGTCACATGAAAATGTAGTCACATGCAGAATAACTCTTCAACTGCAAAGATACTCATTAGTCTAAGATTCTTCTCAACTATGTTGTTTTATACTAAAATTTGCTTTTCTATTATTTTTCAAATATTCTTTCATTTCCATTCAAGGATGATTAATAATTTCAAGACCTTCCTTGCCTGTGTCATCTGTTTTAAAGTGATGCTGTGAATATCATGAATTCGTTGGCAAGTAATGGCCCAATTTGATTTAAAAAATAGATCTATTATGTTTATCGTGTTGACCAGTATTATGTATTGGCTGAGCAAGTGGCATAACTCAAGATGACCCCATAATAGAACTCTACACAAATAGGAGCTTTATTTGGAACTTTGTGAATTCATAGGATCAAAATTTTTTGTCTGTATTTTTTTTGGCAACACAGTTTAATTATAGGTCGATGATGTCAATACTGGGTAGTAAATGTATTGAACTTTATGTACTTTAGATGAGAGAACTGAGGCATGAGAATCTAGCAGTCTTCTATGGAATTTGTCCTGAAGCTCCAAACATCTGCATTGTGATGCATTATTACAAGAAAGGAAGCCTAAAGGTGAAGTTATTCCATGGTTTAAAGCAATTTTATGTGTGAGACACTATTGAGGCACTTGTGGCCAGAGCTAGGGTATTTTCAGACGTTTTCATCCATTTGAAGGACTTTCTTGGGTCATTTTGGGATCAAAAAATGCAGTTGGGAGGGTTTAGGTCTGATGGGAGACTTCAAGGAATCAAAAGTGACATATGCACCCTCTGAAATACATTTTTCCCCATCTTTGTCTTGCTGCAATTTATTTTCCCAAATAAATTCCCAATTGGGGAATTTGCAGTATTAAAATTAGTTTCCTCCCAAAAATATTTCCAGAAAAATATTTTTATACATGAAACCTTTACACTGATTTTTTCTAGGATGTTTTGATGCATTCCAATATTGAACTGGACTGGATATTCAAAATCTCTTTTGCCTATGACATCGTCAACGTGAGTATTAAATAGGGAAATAACACTATGTAACATGATTTTTTTCCTGAGTTATAAATGTCATTTCCTAATTTGTTCTATCAAAAAAAAACATGGAAAAGGTTTATTAAACTGCAAAATTTTATTTTTGTGGGCTATCCTACAGCACATTTTGCTATAATTTTTCAATAAATATCTCATGGAGTCTCAACCAATTTAGCAGTCACAAAAATGATGTTTTTGAGCATAATAACTACTTGCAAAGTAAGTACCACTCAAGTAAACAGAAAATAACACTTTCAAACGAAGAACATATTTTTTCAAATTTTGTTACATAGTGTAATTAAAAATATATATTACTAGCTCTAATTCTTAGTTGCTGCTGCTCTCATAGGCGATAGGCAGTCGTATGTGTCAGGGTTGTAAATGTAAATGGAGCAAGAGAAGGACCAAACTTTGTGAAGTCTTGGAGTTTGATTATCAAAGTACAGATATTTTTAAAGGGCAAAGATTGTGTTATAATGGGTCGTTTGGAGCATGTTTCACCAGTATTTCAAAACTGGAGATGACTTCCAATTGCCAGTGTTGTTTACTGTCCTAAATGCATACAGACGTCTTTTGCCTTTATATTACATAAATCAATTAACAGCACTCTTTTAATTATTCAATTCATGTACTGTGCTTAACAGCAAAAGGTATTTTTACTGCATAACTTGAATCTAGAAAGCCTCCTTTTCTTCTGCACGTTCTCCTTAGCTAGCCTTTAGTATGTTCTTTTTTTTTTTTTAATAAAGAGCTTTTTGATGTTGGTGTTCTTATTTGGATAGTTTAGGTATGAGTCTTAAAAACTGTAACTAAGTGTTTCAGGTCACACAGTCTCTAGCCACATAATATATCTGATGTTACCATGAATCTTTTGATGGTCATAAATGTTAAATGAGAATATAGAGCCAAATGCCACAAACTAACATTTGACTCAGATTAGAGAACAAAATAATGTAAAATCTTTTAAAGGCAACATTTACTTCCTTGAAATGAATGAAATATATTCCAGAGGGTGTTTTTTTTTAAAGTTTATCAATATATCTACCTTTGCTTATTTTGATTTTTTTTACATTGATTATGCTGTTTTAAGTTAACTATATATTTGTATGCACTGAAGATTTATGTGTTTGTCTATTTGTTAATTTTCAGGGTATGATCTTTCTCCACAACAGTCCCTTGAAGTCTCATGGTAACTTGAAGCCTACCAACTGCCTGGTAGACACTCGCATGCAAGTGAAATTGTGTGGGTATGGGTTGTGGGAATTGAAGTATGGAACAAAATCCAGAATAATAACAGAGAAGGAGACTGAATATGCTGGTAAGGGCATTAAATACTTTGACTTTGCAATGCACTTCTCCTCAATCCAGGCATTTTGTCAGGGACATTTCAATGATGGTTTAAATATGCTTTAAAGAATTTATTGATGTCACAGTCATATCAAGTTAGCAGATAGTTGAAGCCCCAGGTGGCGCAGTGGGTTAAACCCCTGTGCCAGCAGGACTGAAGACCGACAGGTCACAGGATCAAATCCAGGGAGAGTGTGGATGAGTTCCCTCTGTCAGCTCTGGCTCCCAATGTGCCAGAGATGCTTAGAGATGCCTCTCACAAGGATGGTAAAACATCAAAACATCCAGGCGTCCCAGACGGCTACTTCTCTCTCACCAGAAGCGACTTGCAGTTTCTCAAGTCACTCCTGACATGGAAAAAAGCAGATAATTTCACTCTTAAGTAAAGGTGTTATATAGTTTTGATATTCAGGGGTTGGGGAAGTATTATTATTATTATTATTATTATTTTGTTTATTTATATATTTATTTAATTATTATTTATTTCATGAATTTCTATCCCACCCTTCTCCCTCTGAAGTGGGACTCAGGGCAGCCTCGCACAAGCATCATATGATGCTATGAGCATATAAACAATCAAAAATTACATTTAAAACAGTAAAAATCATTAAAAACATTATACAAATTCATTAAACAATAAATTAAATTAAATATATTGCTTTTTCTCTCCATAAGGAGACTCAAAGCAGCTAATATTAAAAGCATTACAATACAATTTAAAATATACAAATATTAAAACAGTATTAAACATCATTAATATTAAAACAATTCAATTAAATCCATAAAAAACATTAAAAACCACAGTAGTAGCTCTGAGAAATATGAATTTGAGCAAAAATTAATATTTCTAGAAATGGTCCAATGATTTACATACTACTGCTTAATAATAAAATCTTAACTCAAATATGTGCTAACTGTAAGGGATTTGAATTAGACAGAAAATGTTTTTGCTAGTATTTAACATATTCTGCCTGCAGGAATATTCTTCTGCTAGCAAAGTCCTTTCAGCCAAATCTTTTGAGACATCTGCTGACAGAACAAAACTTGAAGATCTGACCTGTTGGCTCACATCTGTTGGCAGAAAAGCCAAAAGAAAAAGAGAAGAAGCAGAAGAAGGGAGGAGCTGAATTACCTAAGATCAAAACTTCTTCAGTCCATGGCCCAGAAACAATAATGAGATAAAATTAGGCCAGGGAGGGAGTTGGATTTAGTTAAATTTTAGTTGGACTAGTGTCAACTGGGCTGGATTTGGCACTCCTACCAGTCAGGAGGACTGCAATTTAAACAGGCTAATGGGTTCTATTGACATCAAAAAAAGAAACACAGAATGATTCTGGAATCAGAACTTTGTGAATTCCTATAGAGAATGATTGATTTGCTCCTTTCAATCGGATGTGAAAGTTGGAGTTTCGCTGGTCAACAGATTTTATTTATTCAAAAGTTGCCACATATTTTCCAAATATTTGAAATATATCAAAACACTGTTTGAATGCATATTTTGAGATCAAACATATATTGAATGTATGTTTTGAATCCTTTAAAAAATCCTTCAGATTAATGTAGAGATGTAAATAATATAAACATGAAGCATGATTCAAAACATACAAATGTGTCCATTTTTTCCCATTTAGGATATATTGAAAGTAAGTGCATGTTGAATATAATCTGATTTAACCTCAACAATATGTGGTATTTGCTTCTATTCTCTTAGACTTCTTCTGGACAGCTCCTGAATTGCTAAGGATGGAGGAATACCCATTGCAGGGCACCCAGAAGGGCGATGTATACAGCTTTGCTATTATTATGAGGGAGCTGATATATAATGATGAAGATGGTCCATTCCAAGACCTAAATAAGAATTCAGAAGGTTTTTGATCCTCCTCCTCTTACTTTCCTGTGTAGATGTGTATATCTATATACTTAATCTATCCTTTTCAAAGTACCCTCTGTGCATGTGCAGGAAAATAAGTTGTTTTGTCAAAGGCAAAGGTTCGTTTTTGGATTCGGAGGAAATAAGCATGTCTTTTGAAAGACTAATATGCTTAGGAATCTGGGCACTTGAAGGAGCACATGAACTGGGACCTTCTACATTTTCAGTCTAGCCCTCTGCAAATTCTTTAAGGCATTTTCCCCATTATTCCTGTATACCTTTTCCCATTTTAAACAGTTGAAGGCACTGTTCAAATATTAGTTAATGGTAGTAAGAATTTTGTATCTAAATATGCTTGTATTTTTGATGTCACCCTTAGCCCCACTAGAATGCATCCTCAATAATGCCACCCAATCATTCATGAAGGTGGGGTTTATATATCAAGTGATATATAAAAGTGATCAATATCATTTATTTCCTTTCACAAGTCTTATACAGTAACCAAAGGTTAGACTGAAAGGCTGAGTCATGTCACCATTATCAGACAGCATGGCATTTGAGATAAGGATTTTATATGCTTGGCAATGAAGGAAGTTCCATGAAGTTGCACTGGACAAAATTATCCTTCTTCGTTGCTGATACCACTAAATTTTTAATTGAATTATTTGCATGAAAACATGATAATTAGCAAGATTTCCTAGGCAGGAATGGTGTCTTACAAATCAATCTGATGCCGATAACTCCACCTCCCTCCTCACCCTGGAATATGCCATGAATCAGTACTACATATATTTGTATCCCTTGCCTACAATTATTTGTTTCTTTGCTGGACATTTGCATGGACCAACTGCCAAAGGTTCATGAGCTGACATTGGTCCATGAATCATAACTTTGCTAGACCATTCTCTCTTCAAGCCAATTCTAGGAAAGAAAGATGCAGCTCACAGTTATTGGTGTAGGCATCTCAGGAGTTGTTTTTATTTCCTTAATACTGACAATTTCCCCAAAATTGCCAGATTCAAAAAAACTAACACAAGACACATATTCTCAAATTTGATTCAAAATCATTTCTTAATTTCAGAGATCATTAAAAAAATCCAAGAAGTTGGTTCTCCTGTTCCATTTCGCCCCTCTCTTTCAACAGAGAGGTGTAATGAAAACATTGTTGCACTTCTAGAGGCATGTTGGGATGAACATCCAGAGAGAAGGCCAACATTTGCTGATGTGAAGAGAACATTGAGAGAAGCTAGTCCTGAAAGGTGAATTGTTTTTCCATGAAAACTTGTATGTTTTCATGGGATAATTGATAATTGGTCAGATGGAAAAATAGCACCTTTTAGCATTCTAGGGTCTTGTATGTTTGGTGTGGGAGAATGGGGGGGAGGGCCATCTCTGCTGTGATGATATAGCTGTGGAAGACCTCTTTTGCTTCAAGTGAAAATATTTTTTTTAAAAAAACAAAGTCTTTGAGATCTAATTGTTTTATCAAAATCTTTGCATGTGTACAGTTTTAGCACATGTATTTTGCTGTATTGTGTTGACAGTGCCAAATTGTTGAATATGCTCTTAGACCAGTGGTTATCAACCTGGGGTCCCCAGGTTGGCCTACAACTCCCAGAAATCCCAGCCATTTTAGCAGCTGTTAAGATGTCTGGGAGTTGAAGCCAAAAACATCTGGGGACCCCAGGTTGAGAACCATGGTTTTAGACCATTTCAGTTATTCCGAAAGTTTTGAATAATTTTAAGCAATTTAAATGGATTTTTATTCATATGTCATCCTCAGATTCTTGGCTTTTGGGTAGTATGGTATATAATCACATCTGGAGAACAAATATGTACATGGCGTACTCCTATTTGCCAACTTTGCCCCTGATCCAGCAATTGAAGTAATAATGAACTAAGGGCTTCCAATCAGATGCTGAGAGATCTACCAAGCCATTCATACATTCAGTTTGTCAGTCTATTTCTGACATGCATCTTGACTCAATGAGTGTTCAGAATTATTTTTGACAAAATCATGAGCACAGTAAAGATCCCAATAAAAAAAACTAGTAAAATGCATAGCAATTCAATAAAATAGTGTGATCCTGAGATTTGCAGTTTAGAAAAAAGCATTTAGAATTCTCAGCCTCAGTAAACTGTAAGTGTTAACATTTCACAGGAACCATGAAAAGGTAGAACCACGCAGTGTAAAATCATAGTGAAACAGTGGTATTTTTAGGAGGCACCTAGAAACAAAGAAGGGGGAAGTCTTCAAAAGCTAGCTGGGAAAGAGAGTTTGACAAGTTGGGTACCGTCATGGAAAAGGTCCTCCTTCAGTATTCTGTACTAATGAATTCTGAAACTCTTTGTCAGTCTGATGTCACTTCATTCAGTTGTCCCAGATGTCAATGCAACCATTATTTCCCAGTCTTCTATTTTGTTTGGGCAGTATTCTACCCAATATGAGGCTACAGCTATTCAATACATTCACAGGAGTTGGGTCTGTGCTTTGAACTAACTTAGCCAGTTCCTGGGCTCATGATTCCCCAACCCCTTCACTATGTAATTCATAAGGTATGGCTCTAGTAGAAAGCAGATCCAGCTCTTTTTCACTGATAACTCAAAATTCTGAAACTGATGCCTGTACTAACAAATAATGAATATTTGTGATATTGTTCAATCTATGGAAGAATTTCTTTTGACTAGGTCTGAATGTGATGATCAGATTCCATTCAACAGTATGATTCCATATATAGAGAGTGATTCCAAATTTTTTAAAAATGCATTCTTATTCAAAGCATGCAAAATAGTTTGGCAGAAATAGAAGAAAAACAATGTTTCTTTTAATATTTACCTTCTGAACTTTTCCAAAAGCCATTTCAGTATTTTAGACAACATGGTCAATAAATTGGAAAAATATGCCAATCATCTCGAGGAAGTAGTTGAAGCAAGAACAACACAGTTATTGGCAGAAAAGAAGAAGACTGAGAAGCTGTTATCAGCCATGCTACCAGGGTAACCACTTCACTTTTCCTGAGTTATTCTGCTATAGCAGTTCTTCTTAAATGCATTTCCCTTTAGAACAAGTCTATTACAATAACTAGTTTGACTCGTAGTGCAATAATTTGGATAGAGTCCCAACTCCTTTGTTGCTGTAATATGCCTTCAAGACAACTTCAACTCATTTTCTTGCCTATGATTCAAAGATGATTTGCCACTGCCTTCCTCTGAGGCTAAGGCCCCTTGTACTTTTATATAAAATCCAGATTATCTGCTTTGAACTAGATTATATGGCAATGTAGACTCATATAATCCAGTTCAACGCAGATAATGTGGATTATCTGCGTTGATGATCTGGTTTATATGGCAGAGTAGAAGGGGCCTAAGAATGTGATTTCCACAGAGCATTATTCTTGCCTCCTTAGATGCATGAGAAGGCACAGGAAAAGTTCCAAGAACATTGGAGTACTGTCGGTGATGTTTCCATAACAAATCTACTACACCTAGTTACTTTATTTCTGAAATCTTACAAAGGAAGCTCCTGCCCACTTATCTGGAAACCAGCGTAATAACAGTAAACTCAATTCAAAATGACAACGTTGAAAAAACAACATCCTCCCCATCTGCCCACCCAGACTTTGGAAGCAGTAATTTGAGACTGCTTTTTAGAGCAATTTGCTCCTACCCCAGCAACTTATAGAGTAGGGGGAAAGGGGGAATTTTTAAAAAGGAATATAAATGCATAATAAGAATTAAGTAAAGAGAAAAGGGAATAGCATAACGAGGGATGGAAAACTGGTGGCTCCATACCCTTTGTCTGGCCTTGCTCATTGCTATCTTAAGCCATACTCGCTACTGGAACTGAGGGAAATTATCATGGAGGGTTTACAGTCATTAGAGGTGAAGGGACAGATACGTTAACTATTGAATCTTATGTAAGTATTGTGAAAGTATTTAACTAAAACAGAACCTTTCAATATTTTAACAGTACTTTTGCACACATTCAATATGGATTTATTTTTTATAGCTCTGCTCAAAGCTGAATGACAACATGGCATGATTTGAAAGTTTTAGCCATTTTCTTCTGAAGAGAACAACCAGAAAGAAAATGACATTGTCTGTTCTTGTATTTCAGCTTCATTGGAGAACAGCTGGTTGCTGGGAGGTCAGTGGAACCTGAAAGCTTTGACTCTGTCTCCATTTTCTTCTCGGATATTGTGGATTTCACTAGGTTATGCTCCCTCAGCTCTCCGCTGCAAGTTGTCAACCTTCTCAATGACCTATATAGTCTGTTTGATAATATCATTAAAATATATGATGTCTACAAGGTAGGCAGATAGCATTCATGGTGGGGACTATATGGGGCTTATTTTAAGGTCATCTGGTTATTCAAATCCTGTTCACAGCCACATTTCTGACTGTGTGTTTGGCTGCATTCATTAAAAGAATGTGAGAGAATGTGAGGCCTGTTTTCAAAGTGAGCCTCAATCCTTTGCATTATGTAACCCAATTCAGAATGTACAACAAAGAGGACATAAATTAAAAGTAGTGGAGTTCAAGTTCATAAGGTGCCAAAGATAGTGGGTAGAGGATTTGGTGTTTTCAAGATTGAGATCCTAATATGTTGTTATTAGAAGGGCTGGAGATGTTATCTGCCACTCACTCAAATTTACTAGTTCCTTCTGAGCGTACCTTTAATCCTTACAGTTGAAAGCTATCCCTATTATAATGCAATGCAGTCAATCATTTCATAATTATGTCAACTAGTTTGCATGTCTTGCTACAAACTAAAACTGAAAAACAGTTTTGAGGCCATCTCAATGTTTAAAACAATGTCAGACATCTTGCAAAGTATACATTCCAATCTCTGTTGCATTTATGATTGCATTATGAAGATGCTCACTGAAGTCCCAAGTATGAGGAAACTAGGACATATAGTTTCAAAGGTTTCTGATGACCTTACTCTGACATTAAGGTGTGTGTGTGGGGGACGGACAATTTTCCTAAACCTCTTAGCATTTGGGTTTCAGTGTATTTTGAATATCTCACAGAAATACTCATCATTTGCTGCACCTATTGAGACCCATACATATTGAACAGAAGCAGCGGTAAAGCCAGCTAAGCTAGAGGATTCATAAGGAAATCCGGGATTCTACAGATTTTAGGGTCCCATTATATTTCTGATCATGCTTTGGGAGCTATGGGGTTCCTGGCTTAAAAAACAAATAGAGAGCAAGCCAAAAAAAGTTTATTATACTATCTGTACTTATTCATGTTTTCAGAATAGTTTTTACCAGCCCATAATGATAAATACTAGTCCATTCTGTCTGATATGCTATTGCAGTTGTGCCAACAGAGAAAATGAAAAAAGAGTGACATATTATAATGGGTACAACCAGACCCGTAGCCAGGATTTTGATTCGGGGGGGGGGGGGCTGAGTCTGAGTGAAAGAGGGTCTACCCTAGCAAACCTAGCATGATATGAATAAGCATAACAGTTGAAATAATGTACCAGTAAGGCCTTCTCACGGACCCTCAACCCCCCCCCCCCAAACTACATGCATGGGTACAACATATTATGATAGGATAAACATAATTCAAGCTGCCCAGAACCTATATTGCTGAGGAAATTTGGGAGAAAGAAAAGTTACAGACTTATCAAACTGGTTCAGTATTCTTACCAAATGCACTAAGATGTATTTAAATAGAATAGAATTATGGAAGTCTAGACAGCAATTACAGTACCCATTGGAAAGGTAGTAGTCCTGGATGAAGAGTGAGGGCATTGCACTTTGGGAGGGATTACATTTATTGCCAGTTAGCTTTATATTATATTGTGTTTGTTATTTGCATTTTATCTGAATGATTTGTTTTGCAGATGTATTATACAGTTGTATGATTTGTTATTCCTCCTTCCCTCTATGTGTGTATGTGTATTTTTGATTATACACATATGACAAGATCCATTGCTTTTGATCATTTTATTGTAAAACATCATGTACATGTGATGATTGTATATAAATTAATGATGATCATGATGATGACAACGAGGATGATGCACCTCAAAACTTAGTGGCTTCAGAATGAAGCCATCAACTTTTACATGAAGGGTGTGCATGTTCCAGTGAGAACATTTATAATTAAGTACACTAATAATCTGTAGAGCATTTCTGGAGATAATCATGAAAGAAACATGAGTTAATTCTTTCATCCAAGCATTTTGAGTGTATGTCATATGTAGATTGTCTTGTGGGGAGCAGGGAAGCTTATAATAAGTTGTGATGATTAAACTCTTTCTTAGCATCTGAAAACCAAACTTCTCTTCCCACAGACTACTTAGAACTTGTCATTAAGAGTTGCTTTTGTTGCTGTTTATGGACCACTTTTTTTTACAAACACTAATTATTACTTTCACTAATTACAGGTTGAAACCATTGGAGATGCTTATATGGTGGCTAGTGGTCTCCCCATTCGAAATGGAACAAAGCATGTTGAGGAAATTGCTACAATGTCTTTGCACTTTCTCAGTGCAATGATTTCCTTCAAGATTAGACACATGCCAAATGAGAAGCTGAGATTGCGTGTTGGTATTCATACAGGTTTGTTGATTCAGGGTATCAATTTTATCTGAACTTCATTTTAGAGATTTCCTAACTGCGTTTATCATGGATGAATTAATCTGACAATCAACAGTCCACAGCATGGCAAAAACATGTGTATGTATGTGCCTCCAAATAATCTGATGATTTATGATGACCCTATGGATTTCATAGAGTGTTCTTAGGCAAGGAATAGTCAAAGGTGGTTTTACTAGTTCCTTCCTCTAAGATACAACCTCCAGCACCTTGTAATCGTTGGTAGTTCAGAGCTGATCTTGCTTAACTTCCAGAATCAGAAGGGATCTGTTACCTTTGTGGTAGATAGACCCTCAAAAGTCTGGTACAGTATGGCCTCCATATTCTCATGACAAGTATCCACAGTTTCATTTATCAGTGTCTGATGAAATATGTAATCTCTAGGAAGCTTCTATGATCTCCAGAATTACTCTATAATATTCATGAGCTGGAGGTCCATTTCAACATGGTGCACAGTTTTGCATATCCACATGAAATCCAGAAACTTATCCCATGTGGATATGGAGGGTTTTCTTACTTAGTATTAGTAAATTAGATGGTTGGTTGGAAGTAAATGCTTAAAGCTACATTCCTCTAAAGAAAGTCATTTTTTCCAAGAAGCTCAAAACATTCCATTCAAATGCTTCTGAATTTCTTTGCCAAAGTCAGGAAAGGAAGAATAAGCATTTTTGATTCATGGTTAACGACAATATCTTGATGAAGATGAGCTTGTATCAGTAGTTTGGTTATATGGGATATTAAAGAATCCAACAAAAAGGCCTTAGGATATTTTTAGGGTTTAATATCTTTTATTCCAGTCCTGAGAAAGATACTATCTTGATGTGTTGTCTCTACTGGAGCAATATATTAGAGGTCATACTGACATAACCAAGCCTTCTAAAGAAAGGGAACAGGTAAGCATATCAAGCAAGAAATATTATTTTTTTAAAGGTCATATTTTAAAGGTCAGTTTAAGATAGTAATCTCATCCTAAGCTTAGTTGGAGCAGCATGAAAGGATTTAGGAAGATGTGTACCAAATGTTGCATCAATTCAACATCATAAAACATTATACACTCATGTAGAAATGACATTGTATGTAGATGATATCTATATCAAGTGTTGTCAGCATACCAATGGACACAATGGTGAAATAGCTATGCATATTCATCTAACCTAAATTCTAGTACCAAAAACCCCACATTTCAGTTTGTGTTCTGGACTTTGATCTTTATCTTAGCATATATGTCCACATTGATGAATTATATTTCAGTTTCTGGTATCAACTCAAAGCAGCTTAATTTATATTGCAGATGTGTGAGTGGGTGATCATTAAGCAACATTTTGCATTGCAGCAATGGCACAACTCACCAGGTGGATGACCCATACGTGCAAACTAGATATATTTTTTGGAAAAGCAAGATGTTTTCAAATCACAGAAAAGTACCTTAAAAGAAATAATGGAGCCATGCTCCCCTACTTTGTGCATCAAATGTTCCAAGAGCATTGGATAATAAAAGGACATGATAATGTTAAATATGCTGAGGATAACTAATAATCCAGTGCTCGATTAGAGAGGCATTACATTGAACCATGTATGGTATACATTACCTTTCTATCTCCTGCATGTATATAATTTCTTTCTCATATTTACACAAATAGCTGCCTTTTCTGTTTTGCTCAGTGCACATTTATTCCTCGGGCATCTGTGAGATTTGTTATTGTCTCCTTTCAAGAAAACCCAGTAATAGGCAATCCTATCACTGGGTTTTCTTGACATAATTTATTCAGAAGATATGTACTTTTGCTTTAGGTTGCTGTGAGTTTTCCGGGCTGTATGTCCATGTTCCAGAAGCATTATCTCCTGACATTTTGCCCACATCTCTGGCAGTCATCCTCAGAGGTTGTGAGGTATATTGGAAACAAAGCAAGAGAGGTTTATATATCTGTGGAAGGTCCATGGTGGAAGAAAGAACTCTTGTCTTTTGGAGGCAAGTGTGAATGTTGCAATTAATCACCTTGATTAGCATTGCATAGCCTTGCAGCTTCAAGACCTGGCCGATTCCTGCCTGGGGAAATCCTTTGTTGGTAGGTGTTAGCTGGCCCAGATTGTTTCATGTCTGGAATTCCCCTGTTTTCAAAGTGTTGTTCTTTATTTACTGTCCTCATTTTAAAGTTTTTTTTAATGCTGGTAGTCAGATTTTGTTCATTTCATTGTTTCCTCCTTTCTGTTGAAATTGTCCACATGCTTCTGGATTTTAGTGGCTTTTCTGTGTAGTCTGACATGGTAGTTGTTAGAGTGGTCCAGCATTTCTGTGTTCTCAAATAATATGCTGTGTCCAGGTTGGTTCATCAAGTGCTCTGCTATGGCTGACTTCTCTGGTTGAGTTAGACTGCAGTGCCTTTCATGTTCCTTGATTCGTGTTTAGGCAATGCTGTGTTTGGTGGTCGCTATGTAGACTTGTCCACACCTGCATGGCATACAGTAGACTCCTGCAGTGGTAAGAGGATCCTTCTTGTCCTTTGCCGAACCTAGCAGTTGTTGGATTTTCTTCTGTAAATAGTTTGTAAGTTGTGTTTCTCCATCAGCTTCCCTAAGTGGTCAGTGGTTCCCTTGATGTATAGTAAGAACACTTTTCCTCTGGGTGGATCTTTGTCCTTACTCTCATGGCTTGTTCTCGGTCTCGCAGCTCTTCTGGTGTCTGTGATGGAGTATCCATTGGCCTTTAGAGCCCAGTTTAGGTAGTTCAGTTCACCTTGGAGAGGGTGGGGTTCGCAGATTCTTTTTGCATGGTCTGCCAGTGTTTAATTGTGCTTCTTTTTTTACTTGGGTGATGGTGGGAGTTTTTATGTAGGGCAAAGTATCAGGAGATAATGTTTCTGGAACATGGCCATGCAGCTCAGAAAACTCATAGCAACCCAGTGATTCTGGCCATGAAAGCCTTCAACAACACTCTTGCTTTACTTTGAAGCTAAAAGAGTATGACTTATTCAACTCTTTAATAGTCATGGATTCATTCTATAGGATTCTGGAGTTTACAATTTGGTGAAGTGCTTAGAATTTTCTGCTAACAACTTTACAAGAATGCCCTAAATCCCTCGAATGGAGAATTCTAACTGCCATGTTTCAATAGTTTGGATGGTATCAAATTGATATAATTAGGCAATGTACACGCACTCCCAGATTCAAAGTTTTAATTATATTCTATTTTTTCTTCTCCTTTTTTCTTATGCTTGTAATTGCAGGCCCTGTTGTTGCAGGTGTGGTGGGAATCACAAGGCCACGCTATTGCCTGTTTGGAGACACTGTGAATACAGCTTCAAGGATGGAAAGTACCAGTTTACGTATGTTGTGTTGACGTAAATTGTAAAGGTCTATTTATTAATACATCTTGCCTCACAAATCAAAGTTAGTGGTCAATTTTGTATCAATTCTCTCCTCATGAAGATCTTAACATGTTTTGTCCAAGTCGAAATGGCTTAGTTTCTCCATCCCTTCCCACTCCCTAAATGTAATAAAACCTGGAACTTAAGTTCTAAGAAAACTTTCCAAACATAAGTGAATAACCGTATCTCTTTAAGCTAGGTTATTTTTAAATGCTGTTTTTCTCAAACCAATATACACAGCCAATACACAGTAATCTGAATCTCTCCTGTCTCCCTCCCCACTCTGTCTATTTTGCCCCCAGCTCTTCAAATCCATGTCTCTATGATCACAGCAAATGTTCTGCAGTCAATTGGAGGTTATGATTTGCAAGAAAGAGGAACCATTAAAATAAAGGTATACGAGTTGCCTAGAATGAATATTGCTGCAAGGACAGAACAATATTCTAAATAAAAAATGGGAACAGTACAGACCTCAATTTCTAATTTCTACTTATAACATAGATTGAACTTGGGCACAAAGGCAAGATTATCATTATCACCATACAGATTTTTTTTTCAATATTTAAACACATTGTGGGTGCACTGGGCCAAGGTGCCTTATAGTGAATATTCTGCTTGACTGCAGACTGGCATATCAGTCCTTTGAGAGAGAAAAAAAGTGCTAATAACTATTCTAAAAGAAAACTTCGATGGCTAATCCTATCAATAATATTACATATGAGATTGTAAAACTTTGGTATCACAGCTAGACGAAGACTGATCAGGGACTTAGGATATGAACACATTAGCACACAGTTTATGAAGTTACTTTTAAAAAACTTATTTGTTGTTGCTACAGTTCCAAAACTCCTCAAAAGCCTTTGTTATAGTTAAGGTTTTAAAAGAAATCTTTCAATTTCCATGGTTTTGAGGAAGATTTTGGACCCTAAAAAAAGATGGTACACCCCCTTATGTCTCATATTTTTGCAATCTCTCTTATTATTCCTTGAAGAGAAGATTTCCACCCTCTAAAATATATAAACCATCTTGCTCTGAGATGCTACCAGTCATTTAAAGAGTTGTTTCTGTGTCTTCTTCTGCTCTCATATTATTCCTGACAGGGCAAGGGGCAACAAAGAACATTTTGGCTCAGAGGAAAAACTGGCTTTAACATGCCTTTGCCAGCATTCAGTGAAGATGTAGAAACTCACCCAAAGGGATATGTGGAAGTGGAACAGTAGGTATACATAAGAATGCAAATGTAAACTGTTGAGGAAAGTTGGTAGAAATACGTAACAGGTAAATCCTCAAATGGAGAAGTATCAGCATTTGGATCAAAACAGCATATCTACCTGTTCTGCTGTGCACTATTATAATATTGAAAAGCAATAAGGGAGAGTATTTATTATGATTAATGTGTGCTTCACCCACAATTTTCCCTTTATTATAATATACCCTGTAGGCATGGATATACACACACACACACACACACACACACACACACACATATATATATAATCTCCATTCCCCTGACATTAAGTCTAGTTGTGTGCGACTCTGGGGAGTGGTGCTCATCTCTGGGGGGTGTTGGCCGTAGACACCTCCAAAGTCATGTGGCCAACATGACTGAATGGAGCATCGTTACCTTCCTGCAGAAGTGGTAGCTATTGACCAACTCACATTTTGCATGTTTTTGAACTGCAGAAGCTGGGCCTAACAGTAGGAGTTCACCCCACCCTAGTTTCCATAATTTCCAGGGATTCAAACCGTGGTCTCCCATAAACCAACACTTAACACTGGCTGTCTTTGAAAGCAATAGTCATGTGGAATTTAGAGATTTCCAGATGGAGGAATGTACTGATCTATATCGAACTGATATGAGATTGAGATGATTTTCACATTTTCATTGTTGTAGAAAGGCGCAGCTTTCATCTGCAATTGAATGGGATGATCTGGAGTCACTTGAAGAAAAAAAGGATGGCTTATAAGTGCGATATTGCATTTCCTAGAATGAAGACCCATTGGAAGCAGACACTGAAATATCTGTTTCATTTCCCATAAAGTAACTCTTACATTTCAATTGTCTAAATTGTAATTAATTTAACTCTAAATGTCAAAACAATACTATATAGAATTAAAAATAAATAAAATTGACCTTTGCATCCATAACTTAATCTTGTGCAGTACATATTTGTGCTGATGCTTTTTCATGATGGTATTACAGAAATGGGATTTTTCCAAGATATCAACTCTAACACAGATTCACATTACCATAAATGAGTGAGAAACTGAATTTGTTTTGTGCTGCAGCACACTCATTGGTAGAGGACTAGTTATTCTTTACACTTTCATATGAAGCATGGGCAACAAAAAATTCCCTTCCTGATTTAAAATGTCACAGTTGAACATTGAACTATTGACTAATCTGAACCAGTAGCAATACCTAAACTGTGGAAGAACTAGAGTTCGTAGTAAACACATAACTTTTCTAAACCAAAGATCTATAACCCTAAGGTTAAGTATGACCAAATTAATTAACACCACAACTTCATGTACATCATAATACAACAACTCAAGCTTGAATTAGTGCAGTGCTCCAACTGGTCCTGATCTGAATCAGTTTTATCCCCAAAGGACTATAGTGATATCAAGTAAGGGGCATTGGTCTTTGTAATTGCCTTTTGACAAATGGAAATGTTCTTGCTTAATCAAAACATTGCAACTTAAATTTGGCCTATATTTTATCATTCTACTTGAAACAATTATATTTACAGTCTACAGAAGATCAGAATAAAGTCTGTAAGCTTTACACAGAACTAAGATGTGGCTAATAACCCAAATTAACAAAAAGAAGTTCATGCTCATCAAGCAAAAATGGGTTTCTGAATGTCAAATTTATTATTATACTTTCATTATTATACATTAATAGAGAAAACACAAGCCAGCATTCTTTGAGAGCGCCATATTCCTTCCTAGTATAATAACTATTAAGACTAGTAGTTAAAGACTTCTTAGTTTAGCTTCTAACAAAGCTTAAGGTTTATAAAATAGGTTTATGTTCAGAGACAATGATTTTGAACTCTGTGTGTGTCCGTGTATATCAAAAAAGTTGTTTTAGTTCTAAAATAAAACACTTCATAAATAAAGAGTAGAAAAGAAAGATTGAAAGCAGGGAATAAATTGTATGAAACTGAGGGATGGCTTCTCCTCTGGCTTGTGGTCTGACCCCCTTCCTGCAAATCTACTTTACTGTGCATCAGCCACACAAAGAGAACTATGTCAATTCTGTTGGTAATTGGGGTATGTGTAATAACAACAACAACAACAACAACAACAATAATAATAGATGATGATTCATTGGAACTCATGCTCAAATCTGCCTGCGACAAAGGACTGGTGGGATCACAAGTCAGAAAAAGTTACAGAGAATGAACACGTCAAGCTACTCTGGGACTTCCGAATTCAGACAGACAAGAGTTTTGGAGCACAATACTCCTGACCTCACGATTGTGTTAAAAAACAAAGTATGGATTGTCAATGTTGCAATCCCAGGTGACAGCAGGATTGAAGAGAAACAACTGGAAAAGCTGACATGATATGAGGATTTAAAGATCGAACTGCAAAGACTCTGGCACAAGCCAGTCAAGGTGGCCCCAGTGGTGATCGGTACACTGGGTGCAGTGCCTAAAGACCTTAGACTGCACTTAAACACAATTGGTGCTGACAAATTTACCATCTGCCAGCTGCAGAAGGTCACCTTATTGGGATCTGCACGCATTATTCGCCAATACATCACACAGTCCTAGGCACTTGGGAAGTGCCCAACGTGTGATCCAATACAACAGCCAGCAGAATGTCTGCTGGGACTCATCTTGTTGTGTATATAATAATAATAATAATAATAATAATAATAATAATAATAATAATAATTTTTATTTGTACCCTACCACCATCTTCCAAAGGGACTCGGGGCAGGTCACAGAAGCACTCCAAGGGCCACACAGACAATACATAAACACATACACAATGACACAAATACAACCAACAGCACATGAAAATCTTATAGATAAAATCACAAAAATTTGAAAACCATAAGATTCCTAAAAAGCAGTATTGATGATATGTCCATCCTGCTTCACCAAATGTAACATGGAATTGTCATAATCTTGCTTGCTGGATGAAGGACACTGGAAATGTGTCCCAGTTGCTAGCAGAACAGTCTTCCTTTGCCTGTGTGGCTACTAGTTGTTAATGTGGGCAGAGACTACACAGGATTACAGAATATGGAACAATGGTGGACTTATGACTCTATATTATGAATTCATAACTGCAACACTGAATGCCTGCCATATTATAAGACATGTATGGGAAATTTCCTGAGGGTATTTCACAATGGACACATAAGTTTTAAATCAAGTTTGACACTCTGAGGATTTTCTTGTGCAGTGCTTCCAGTCTGCACAACTCCTGAATAAAATGTCATCATACTTTAAATGCAGCACCTGTACCTGTTAATTCTCTAAATGTCATGTAGTTGTTCTCTGCCCTAGACATTTCACAACACAAATATTGTTTTCATGGTAATTGTATATGAAATGAGCTACTAATGCTTTGTTTGAGCCAGAAGAAAAGCAGTTATTCCTCTCCACGTGAAATTACACAAACAGTGAAATAGTCTCTTACCATATGTTATCCTTTCTCAATGATGCTGGTAATATATAGGACTGTTCCACCTGGCAAACATCTACTAATCTATACAGTTTTAACATAGCATAGGACTTTATCGCACAAACATATTCTACTACAGTTGTGTTACTATTGCTAGTGGATACATACTGGATTGAGTACCTTTGATATTGCAACTCTTTTCATTGCACAACTGTGCTGATTTGCCAATTTGAGTGTACACACCTTTGTAATTCTGCCTTTCCACACTACTGCAGTTCCCTAGATTTTTCTTAGCACAACTGTGCAATTCCAGCATTTAAAAAACAAAAAATGGCAAATATAAGTATAAAATATAATATTACCAGATTGGAAATAATAAAAGAAAGTGGGGAGTGACGGAGAATTCCACCCTTCTGGCATAGAAGCAAAAAGAAGCCATCACACCAAGGTGGGAATGTTGCAGGATTGGGAACTACTGATAGGATTTAATTGTTAATAGTTAGTTACAGGGGAATCACAGGGAGGAGGCAAACCAGCAGTGGGATGCATGCAGCAACATATGATAGGGACCATGCCAGTCCTTAAGTCTCTTATCATACTTGCAATATGGAAAATTCCACATGGATACATAATGAGAACCTGTAGCTACTAATGGTTGTTTGTGCCAGAAGAAAACACAAGGAGGCCTTGTGCTTCCTAGGCAAGGGGGTAGCAGGGTGGCGTGGAGCCCCTGCACAGCTCCTGACTGTGCCTAAGGGCTCCATGGAGCACAGTTTGAGCTCTGCTGGTCTAAAGTATTGTCTTCAACACAAGACAATTGATCATGCTGTTAGAGAGTTGATCTAAAGCAGGGGTTCTCAAACTTTTAAAGCTGTGGAGCCCCTTTTCAAGGAAATGTTGAAAAGGGAGAAACTGTTTGTGTTTCTCAGTTTGTGGAGAAACTGTTGGATACAGGGACTGCATTACATTTTAAAATTTGATAGATGGGTTGGGCATGTGGCAGATGGGTAGAGAATGCTTGTGTGAACTAACTAAAAAAATGAGCAAATTCTTGTGCACATTGCAGATATCTTGTTTGAACAATATTTAAAATGAAGAATAATTTTGACTGACATAAACAACAGTATTTCAGTGGAAGAACCCAGAGGCATCCACTCCAACCATTTCTGCCATGCAAGAAAAGCACAGTCAAAGCACCCCCAACAGATGGCCATCTAGTCTTTGAAATAACAACAATAATAATAATAATAATAATAATAATAATAATAATAATCGGAGGAGGAGCTACCCAGGGGTGACCCAGTCCAACCTCCTTCTGCCATGCAGGAAAATCACAAAGCACCCTCAAACAGATGGCCTTTGAAATACTAATACTACTAATAATAGAAGGAGCAATGCAGGGGCCATCCAGTCCAATCTGCTTCTGCCATACAGGGAAAGCGCAGTCAAAACACCCCCAAAAGATGGCCATCCAAACCTTTGAAATACTAATATTACTACTACTACTACTACTAATAATAATAATAATAATAATAATAGAAGAGGAAATGCGGGGGCCAACCAGTTCAACCTGCTTCTGCCTTGCAGGAAAATCACAAAGTGGTGGTGGGGAAGCCTCCTAGGCTGCACTGCCGGTGGCATGAGGGAAGCCTCAAAGGTGCACTGCCAGCAGTGTGAGGGAGGTCTTCTAGGCCATGCTGCCAGCAGTGCAAGGGATGTCTCAAAGTCACACTGCTGGCAGCGTGAAGGAGGCCTTGTGCTTCCTAGGCAGGGGGTAGCAGGGTGGTGTGGAGCCCCTGCACAGCTTCTGACTGTGGCTAAGGGCTCCGTGGAGCATCGTTTGAGATCTGCTGATCTAAAGTATCTGGGGATCTAAAGGACAGCTACCTTATTTTTGAGATCTTTCTACTGTACTTAAAGCAAGTGAACAAAAAACCACTATTCTCACAAAGATCATAAGAATTAAGATAGACAATTCCTTTTATGTGGAAATGTGGGTGTCTTTGAGAACCTTGAAAACATGTTAGTTGCTTGATTCAAATAATCATGACATAAATGGAAGCTTACTGCATTTTTGGAATAGTTGGAAATATTCACTCATTTATTATATAATAGTAGTTTCCCCTCTGTTACTCAAAAAACTTTATATGACATTTCTAAAAACAACCTGAAATGAGATTTTTAAAAGAATAAGCAAACAGCTGTTAACAATCACCACTGTTATTCTCAATTGTCACAAAAACAAAATATAAGCCATATGTCACTCATTTTCCAAACAAAATAATGCAATGGGAAAAATAATAATTTCTTCAAGCAGTAGAATACACGAGCAGCTGATGTTGGGTAAACTATTATAAGAAAACTATAGATACACTATGTAAGAGAAATAAATAGTAAAGGACACCTGCAAAAAAAAAAAGAGCAAGAATATAAGTGACTAGTTTCACTCACTGCATACTCACTGTTGTTCTGTGCAATCTAGGACCCTACCAAATACTAAAATAATTTGCTGATGATTTTTAAATTTTGTCTCATTTAAATAAAATCCTAGATTTTACTGACTTTTATTTGCATTTTTGTGATGAATCTACATGAGATAGACCAGATGAGACATACTGGGACCTCATTTTGACTTCTTGTTGTTTCATGCCATGCCATGCTTTTTCAGAGGGTCCTATGGCAATATGGACAGTGGCGCTTTTCAGTGTGGCTTGGCTACTAAAACTTACGAGAATTCGTAAGATTAAGAGAGTATGATAACATTATGAATATTCATGAAACTCAGAGAATCTAAATGAAAAATCTATTTGCTCTGAAAATACCAGAATCACATTAATCAACACAGTGACCCCATGGTATCTATTGTGGTTTGGTTTCAAGATCCTCACCAATCTAAAATCCACAGATATTCAAATCCCATTATATATAATGACAGTGAAATGGTGTCCCTTATATAAAATGGCAAAAATAAGATCTGCTTTTGGAATTATATTTTAAAATAGTTTCAAGCCTTGGGTGGTTGAATCTGTGGGTTCAGAATCCATAAATATAGAGGGATGACTGTATAGCTATTATGCATACATACCCACATGTACACACCTCATAATTACACAAACTTAACTTTCATTGCAATGTCTGAAAGTATTCTCTCAATTTTTAAGAGACACATCTCCCTATCTTCCACTATGCTCAAAAGGTAGCATTGAGAGGGGTAATTTATGCAGCCTTGGTTACACAATTGTTAATATGTCTTCCAATGAAGAATCTTAGCTATTTTAATTAAACCATAAATGCTGTGACTTGAATTTAAATACTTTATGTCATAATATTGCTGCTACTTCCTTTTTATATTAATTTGTAGAATCACAGTAATTCAATAATATTAAATTAGCACTCTAGTTATTCAAAGGGAGTTTCTGCGATCTGATTTTCTGACTTTCAGCAAAAACCAGGGAAGCTGTTCCAAGAAAAGATGTGGCCCCTTTCCAGAAGTCAGCTGACAGCACTCAACAATAGCCCAATTCAGGCTCTGCTGACATAGAAACTTTGCACTCAAAGAGGGATGCGGGAATGAATGTACTATCGCCATCTCATCACCTGTTCTTGTATGTATGGAGGCAGACTGTCTGCAAAAGAGGATCTTCTCTGTTCATTGAGGCACTCCCTGGGATTTCATAATACTTGAAAAACAAGATTCAGACTAAGGACACTTTCCAGAGCTAAAGGAAGTTCTTCTTTGCCGTAAGTCACTCTCCACATGCAAAGAACAACGAGAACAGCAGAGAAATTAGCATTCCTCTCTGTTCATCACATGTAGAATTTACACATGAAAGAAATGCCTGAATAAGCCAGATTTTACACCTAATTTGGTATTAATTCAAGTATCACTCAACTATAATAAAATGATTCCACTTAATACAGGTTGAGTATCCCTTATCTGGAATTCCAATATCCAAAAATGTCCATATAGATGATTGAGATAATGAGACTTTTGATTTCCGACGGTTCAGTAATCATTCATTTTGGTTCATGTGCAAACTTTGGTTTTGTGTACAAAATTACCTTCGGTCTATGTGTATAAGATATCTACGAAACAAAAATGAATTTTGTCATTAGACTTGGGGGGGGGGGGATCTGAAACAGAGTTGATTTCTGACACATATCATTTTGGATAAGAGATACTCAACCTGTACTATTTTGTATTAATAGAATAAATCTTTGTAATGTTTACCTGAAAGGCTGTAATTTATGAGCAACCCTCTGCCTGTATCAAACAAGAAAACAATTACTCACGGTGAATGCTTAAATACAGGAGGAAATGAAATAATGAAATTATTGTTTAAAAATACTTTAAAATGTAAAGTATGGATTGGTTGGATCTTCTTGCGGTCCACGGCACTATCAGAATTTTCCTCCACAGTTCAAAAGTATCTATCTTCCTTTGCTCATTCTATCTATATCTATTTTTCCCCCTCATCACAATCTCTCATGGAACCCCCATGACCTCTTGGAAAATCCTAGGTCTCCAAGAAATCTTGGTTGAGAAACCCTGGATTAATTATTTATAGCAGAGTTTTCCAAACATTTCACATTTGTAACATACTTTTTAGATATGCTTCATTTGACAACACAGTAATTCAGTTTGACTAGAGAACCAGAAATTAAACCAACACCCTACCAGAGATACAGACACATATGTATGTTGCAATAATAAAATGGGGACTCAATGTATTTCATGAAAACCTTTCATTTATATTTTTTAAAAATATATGATTTGTAAGCTATACGTTTCCAAGCTTTATGTCATTTCTGATTATGTTCGCACAACACACCTATACACTGCAGACCACACTATAATGTGCTGCAACATAGAGTTTGGAAATCTCTTGCTCATGGTATCATTCTACGGGACATATTGTTTTGTCATTTTAGAACTGCTGATTTGATGTTATCCTTTTTGTTTTATGAATTTCTCTACTAGATTTAATGTTTGTTTCAATTAGTGCCATAAGTGTGGACTTCAACTTCCTGTTAGTTCAGTGGATACACTGTAATTGAGACCAACAGTTGGATTAAGGCCAGAGTTCCTTTATCTTCCAAACTCAGTTTGGAGACAATAAAAGTATAATTCCCATTTTCCTCATATTTTTGTTCCTTCATTTTGTAATCTCATTGAATGATGTGGCAAGGTGTAAATAAGGTTCAGATCTTTCTTTGTCATTCAAGGTGATCCTGAACTGAGCAACCAAGGTGAGAAATGTATGGTGAAGTCCTGTTCCTTCACATGATCTTTGGAATGTATGAATAGTAACTAGGAGGTTCTGGGATTACTTTCCACATCAATGGATAAACCACATCAAATCTGGTAGACTATTGCACCATCCTTACAGTATAATTCTTACTTATCCTAACTTGTCATCAAAATATTAATATGGCAGTGTTACCTTCCCTTCACCTACAAAATATTTTGCAATGGAACATCTTTAGAAAGAGAACAAAGACATGGTTATGGAACCAAGCTTTTGATTAGTAAAGTAACGCAATACAAGAAGCAAATACAGAATATGCACAATCGACATTGGAATGGACTGGTTGAAGCGCTTGGATCATGTGATTTTAATGTTTTTATTAGGTGTTTTAATTCTTATATTTCATGTTTTAAATGTCTTTTTTTCTTATCTTATAGTGAATTGTCCTATTGATTTTATGCTTAGTTATATGGTGTTGATTTGTGATTTGGTTTACATATGTAAGGCATTGAATTTTGGCATTATGTCTGTGTAAGCTGCTTTGAATGAGAAAAGCAGTATATAAATACTATAAATAAATAAATAATAAATAAGCCAAATCAGAAACATTAAATACTTACTGCTTATAGTAAGTTCTGCCATTAAAACACCACCTGTTTGTTCCATTCGTTGTCTCCGCTTTGCACATGCCTTAAAGTAGCAAAGAAACAATTAATGTAATAAATAGTTTGAATCACAAAGAATAAAAGGTGCATCACATTATGTTTTTTCAGCCTAATCAGTTTCATGGCTCTGGTAGCAGTCATGCATGGAAAGTTTAAAACAACAACAATATAAGCCTGATTGAGTTAGAAGGAAGCTCCACTGTGTCCCAAGTGAAACTTTCTTCCAAGTTAGGGTAGACAGGCTGCAGTATAAAGCACAAGTCCTTGAAGATGGAAGTAAGAGCCAGAACAGTGCTACATCCTACTGCCTAGTTATGTTTCATTACAGTTGAAGGAGTTACCTCTCCAAAGAAAGGTTTAAACATTCAGTTCTTTACAGGGCAAAGTATGTATAACTCAAGTGAAGCTCAAGGCAAGTAGTGATATTGCTAAGGACAAAGGGAAGTGTGGTACTTACAGAAACCTTTGAGGTTTCTTTAAATGTACTGTGGAAGAATAAAGGCACTTCTGAAAATCATTTTTAGCAAGGTTTTCTGGGTTTCTGTGTTTCTTCTTTGACCAGTTTCCATTTTTCTCTACCATTCAATGGTTTAAATAGGGGTGGGCAAAGACAAGACAGGGGCATTTTTCCTACCTGCAACTGCCTAGTGGGTGGCAGCATAGACTCATAGAGTTGGAAGATACCTCATGGGCCATCCAGTCCAACCTCCTGCCAATAAGCAGGAAAATTGCATTCAAAGCACCCCCGACAGATGGCCATCCAGCCTCTGTTTAAAAGCCTCCATAGAAGGAGCTTCCACCACACTCCAGGGCAGAGAGTTCCAGTGCTGAACAGCTCTCACAGTCAGGAAGTTCTTCTTAGTATTCAGGAGGAATCTCCTTTTGAAGCCATTGTTCCGCGTGCTAGTCTCCAGGGCAGCAGAAAGCAAGCTTGCTCCCTACTCCTATGACATCATCTCACATATTTGTACATGGCTATCATGTCTCCTTTCAGCCTTCTCTTCTGCAGGCTAAACATGCCAAACTCTTTAAGCCAGCCCTCATATAGCTTGTTTTCTAGACCCTTGATCATTTTAGTTGCCCTCCTCTGGACACATTCCAGCTTGTCAACATCTCCCTTAAACTGCAGTGCCCAGAATTGGACACAATGTTCCAGGTGTGGTCTAACCAAGGCAGAATAGAGGGGTAGCATGACTTCCATGGATCTAGACACTATGCTTCTATTTATGCAGGCCAATATCCCATTGGCTTTTTTAGCCTCCACATCATATTATTGGCTCATGTTTAACTTGTTGTCCACGAGCACTCCAAGATTTTTTTCGCATGTACTTCTGTCAAGCCAGGCATTCCCCATTCTATATCTCTGCATTTCATTTTTTTCCTGCCCAAGTGGAATATCTTGCCTTTGTCTCTGTTGAACTTCATTTTGTTAGTTTTGGCCCATCTCTCTAATTTGTGAAGATTGTTTTGAACTCTGCCACTTCCTTAATGATCTCTTCCAGAATCTTGCCTAGTAGCGACGTGAGGCTGAACAAATGGTAATTGTTTTGGTTGCCCTTTTTTCCTTCTTGAAAATAGGGAGCACATTTGCCCTTCTCCAATCTGCTGGGACTTCTCCCGTTCTCCAAGAACTCTCAAAGATGATTGCCAGTGGTTCCAAAATAACTTCATTTGATATCCTTGGATGTAGTTGATCTGGCCCTGGGGGCTTGAATTTGTTTAGAGTGGCCGGGTATTCTTGGATGACTTGTTTCTCTATTTGGGGTTGGATTTTCCCTAATCCTTCGTCCACTCCATGTAGCTACGGTCGAGGATGGCTTTCTCTTTGTGAGAAGACTGAGGCAAAGAAGGCATTAAGTAATTCTGCCTTTTCTCTTTCCCCTGTCAGCATTACCCCATCTACTCCTCGCAGAGGTCCTGTCGCCTCCTTGTTCTTTCTTTTTCTAACAACGTGAGCAAAGAAGCCCCTTTTATTGTTTTTAATGTCCCTAGTAAGCCCGAGCTCATTTTTCACTTCAGCCTTGTGAACCTTTTCCCTACAGGAGTTGGTTATTCATTTGAATGCTTCTTTGATGATTTTTCCCCCTTTCCACTTTTTGTTCATGTCTCTTTTGAGTCTTAGCCCAGTTAGAAGTTCTTTGGACATCCATTTGGACATCAGGGAGTAATCTCCTTCAAATGGGGCCCAGTCCAGTTAGTTTACCTGCTTTATTGCTTTTACCCTAATGTTTGGGATGCATATCACCTGGGGGAGGTTTTTACTTGTGGCTCAAGGATTCATTACATGGGAAGGCCTTGGAAAGAGGTTCAAAAGGCTACAATCTTGGATGTTTTCAGTCAAACTCCAGTGCCAAATTTAAGAGTATCCTATCCCCACTCAGTATTGTGCCAATAAAGACTCCTGGTGGATTTATTCATCACCTGACTTGTCTAACAGGGGCATCAATAAATGATTGTATCCCTATGAGTTTTGTTCAGTGCACTGCAATTTTTCAATGAGGCTGTTAAGCAAGTTTGTTCGCATGGTGTGGTGGCAGAGCTGGCAAAGTCAGACATCTAGTCAGCATTTTGTTTGTTCTCTGTTCATCCAGTCGATTTTGAGCTTTTGTGTTTTATGATGCATACTAAGGATTGGGCTTTACTCGTGGGCTCTTCAAGCTCTTGTTCAGCATTCAAAGGGTTCAGTATTTTTCTTGAGTGAGCCACCAGGTTTAAAACCAAATGCCAAGGTGTAGTACACTATTTGGATGATTTCTTGTTTATTGGCACTGAACTGTGCACAATTTTATTGCAGCAGTTCTCTACTCTTATGGAAGAACTAGGGGCCCCATTGGCACACAAAAAGGCAGGTCCATCCACTAGGCTTAACTTTTGGGGCATAGAGATAGATGTGGTTAATCAATTCTCTAGGTTTCCCTCAACTAAGGTTGCTGATGTGCTAAACTGGGTGACAGATGTTTTGACTTATCGCAAGGCCACATTACAAGAATATCAGAAGCTTCTTTGCCATTTAAATTTTGCTTGTTGGTTGGTTGCTCCTACCCAGGTCTTTTGCTCTGCTTTGTGATACTGTTAGTGCAATATTAGTTTCGCACCACTGCATTAGGCTCTCTGGGTTTTGGGTTCTTTTTCAGTGGCTGTTGGTGTGTTAACTGTTGGCCAGAGGCCTGGGCACCCCTGTGGGATCACAACCGATCTTACTGTCCTGTGATTTTCAATCCTAGTTGCAGTAAAGTTATGGGCAATTGAATTTGCAAATTCAGCTGTATATTTCTGATGTGATAATTTGGCTGTGATTCATGTTATCAACTCCTTAACATCTCATTTGAAGATGGGCATGGTTTTAGTTGGGGAATTTACAATACATCGCTTGCAATTTAAGATCCCTTTAATAGACCAACATATTCCTGAATTGGACAATGAGATAGCTGATGCTCCCACTTTCAGATGGAGCAGCTTTGGCAATTGTTGTAGAAGTGGGCTATCTCTGAATTTAATTATTTTAGCCACAACAAAAAGTACAGGTAAAAGTAAAGAGTTCTGTGTTTAATTACATGGTAAGGGGCAGTTAGCATAATACATTCTTGTACATGTCCTGGCTCTGACTTTTTGGTTTAAGTCATTAGGCCATCATGACTGTAACAATAATTCGGGGTACTGATCAGAGGGGTCTCAGTGCAAATTACATCTCCAACATTGTTTGGATACTGAATTATATCTTGCTTGGACCATTTGCCAATTTATTCAGTTACGAGAACGTTACACGGTCCTTTGTTTTGTGATTCCAACCAGTCTCGGTTGACCAAGTATCAGGTTTGGGCCATAACTTCCAAGGCACTTGCTAAATTGGGTTTGGAAGGGAGTTAAGTTTGGCACAGATTCTTTCTGTATTGGGGTGGCTTCTTCAGCAGCAGTGGTTGGCACTGATGCTCAGGGTATTCAGATGACTGGACATTGGAGATCGGTGGCTTATCGCCGATATGTTCAGCCATTTTCTTACTGAGCCTTGCAGCTCCCAGGCTGTTGTCCATGCCTGTGCAGCAAAGAGTGCTGATTTATGACCACAGTTACACCTTCTGGGCTGAGTGCCTGGTGTACTGGAGCAATTATGGATGTCATCTTGGTTTAAGTGGCAGTGCTACTGCTGGATGGCTTAGTTGGAAGGATTTACAATGTCACGGCTTTTTGTTTCTCTGTTTAGGGAGTGCTGTGGCCTGCCTCCTCCTATTTTGATTGTGCATCTTGGGTGCAGTGACCTGGGTCTTCTTGCTGGAAAGGCACTCATTATTTGGGCAATCAGATATGGGTAAAATTCAGGATAAAAGGCCCTATACAGTTTGCAAGGTTAGCTATCATTTCAAGGCAACATTGGCCCTGGGAGGGTGATGTATGCTGCTGAGAGTCAGTAATAAAATAAGGCATGCCTTGGCTGTTGTTCTGTGTTTTTTTACCTTGCTTACCCTGAGATTACTTACAAACATTCTGAATTATTACAGCCCGATGGTGTTCACTTTTCAGAGATTGGTCTAGAGCTGTTTCTTGGGGATTTCCAACACGCCCTAAAATTATGCTGTTTGGTTTTGGTGGGGAATAGGGGGCACAGTAGACACTGGTTCCCTATTTGTGAAAGATATTGGGGGTAATTATTCAGTGTTCCACCTACTGACACTTGCATATACAGAGAGTGAAAGTGCCTCCCATGATGGATTTTTAATATGATTTCAAATGACATTTAGCCCATATTAATATACGAGGGGGAGCACAGTCACATACATTACTCTAGTTCCCTCTAGTGAGCAGAGACCTCATTTTCCACTTGCCATTTCAAACAATAGAGTCCTGAGAAACCACAAAGATTTCAGCATAAGTTATGCCATTTCTTCAGATGCACACAATCAAAGATCACTTGAAGGCACATAACAAAAACAGTACCTTTTAGGTGCAATGACACACCAACGTCACTACTTTCTGGCATATTTTCTGTATATTGCATTTGTTTGTAACCTGGTTTATCTGAAAGAGTATATAACTGGAGTAGAGGTTGAGGAGCCATACTGACCCCTTCAGGACGTGAGTAATACACTTCATCCTCATATTTCCCTAACAATTATTTTTCATTTTTTAAAAAAAATTCAAGCAATATCTGGTCCCAGATTATCTGATTTAAACTGGATTATATGAGTATACACTGCCAAATAATCTGGGATAAGAAGATAATCTGGGATCAGATCCTGGGATATAGGGCAGTGTGGAAGGTGCCTAGGCTGGCCCTCTACTGTATCTGCTTTCACTGGCAGGCAGACATCCTTTTGTTTTAATAGGTTTTTAATGAGAAAGCAGGGGAACCTTTTTATTGGGATCTTCTACTTATCTTAAAAATGTTTGTTAAAAGTATTTAAAATACTTTACGAAGTGGGTTTAATTGCCATAAATGTTTTTAATTGACTGTTTCTGGAAACGCCTAAGGATTTCACTCTGGGAGAAATTAGGTATATAAATAAATAAACAAATGAATAAACATAAGCAAGCAAATGTAAATTTATTCCAACTCTCTCTCTCTCTTTCTATCTTTCTTTCTCACTCTCTCTGTATATATATGGAAAAATTCAGGTGCAAAGCTTAGGAAGACTACAGCTGCACTTTCCCCACCCTGTCAAAGGAATATGTCAGTAAGCATGAGATGTACTCCTTATAACCCTGATGATAACATCATGAAGTGATTTATGTCCCTTCTACACTGCCATATAACCCAGATTATCAAATCAGATAATCTGCATTATCTGTTTTGAGCTGGATTGTATGAGTCTACACTGCCAGATAATCCAGTTCAATTCAGATAATATGGATTTTATTTGGCAGTGTAGAAGGGGCCATGCAGTAGCTATGATTCTAATCTTTACTTGATTCTGAAGCTCTTTGTTCTCTCCACCTGAGGCATTTTCTACACTGCCATATAAAATTCAGATTATCTGCTTTGAATTGGATTATATGGCAGTGTAGAGGCATATAATTCAGTTCAAATCAGATAATGTGGTTTTTTGCTGTGTCCAGGTCACTAAACCTTCATTATATGTTGCATCGTAATATTTAAAAGTGTCTTTAAGGAACATATAACAGTTAAAATTTGAATCAAAATTAGTTGGTCCTCAGGAATGTGGATTTTGAAATCCTAGACTTTGCCACATGTCAGTAATGCATGCACTTACCACAGGGCAGGAGATCTTCTCACTATCACACACATGCGTTTCACAATGCAGCCACACCTTGGAAAGCTTGGGAATATTCCGGAAGCGAAAAGCATTAAATTGGAACGTAGCTCGGCTGTCTTTCCCATTTTCATGTATTAAGATGGAGTTATCTGCTGCACAACTGAGATAGAAAATGTTAGAGTGAGAAGAACCAGAAGAAGGATCCTTCCACACACTCATATGTCCCACAATATCCGCTTTAAACTGGGTTATTTGAGCCCACACTGCCATAAATTCCAGTTCAAAGCAGAAAATGTGGGATTTTATTCAGCTGTGTGGAAGGGGCCAAAGTCTTTTGTTGCCTCTAACACTATCCTTGCATTTAGCCTGGACACTGCAGGGATATAGCAGGAACCTATGATAAGCTGAGAACATTTGAAAGGTAAGCTCAAGTTTAGTAATGACACATTTACATAAAATTCATAAAACTGAGATGATTAAATATTCTGCTGCAGAGTTTTAGAAAGCACTCAAGAACAAAGGCCTGCCTACACAGACCACATACTGCAAAGAGAGCCAGAAGTTGCTCCTGAATATTGCCTGAATTTTCAAACAATATCCAGTGACTTCCAGTGTCACGTTAACAAAAATCATGAGAGGCTTGGGAGCTCCTCTGAAGTTCTGGAGCAGACCCAAACATTGGAGTGTGTGTGAACAGCTCAGCTAGTTCTAATTTGGAACTGCCCCATTGTTCACAGGATCATTGATGCTATCCCATTTTCTCCATGCTCCACAACATGGAGAAATGGGGATGGTACTTATCCTTGTTGTTGCTTGTTGTTGCCGCAGAGAACTCTGGGCCATCACTAGTAAACTTGCCAATGTCAGCAAAGATGCTCACACAATTTTGAGAATGGAGCAGGATTTCCCCTCTTTTCCCTACCTCTACTCTTCCAAGTCACACAGGTGCCTTTACTGACATCATCAACAGCTCCCAGAAATGACCAGAAGCTCCCTGAGCTCCATTGTCACATCCTCAACAATGATAAATGTAACTGTGATCATCCAGTGGGGTGAAACCTGATTTGTCCCAATTGGATAGTCAGGAGCCTGCTCCCACCATAGTTCAAAGGCAGTGATAACTACCATGGCAGAATTGATGGGCTGATCAAAAGTAGCAATACTTCAGATTAACTCTGAATTTTGTGGCTTGTGTTGATGGGCCCTAAAATATGACTCTCAGGAGTCATAACAATTGAGGTCATACATTAGAGATGCATAAAATTACGGTGACAGAGCTATACTGCTGATTTACAATACTGTTAAAGCAGGGGTTCCCAAACTAAGGATCCGGCCCCCCGAGGGCATTTATCCGGCCCACGGGGTGTGGAGAAGGGGGGAGGCGGCGGGTGAAGCAGCTTTGGGGCCACTTCGTCCTCCGCCTCCCTGGGCCCAGCTGGCTCTTCTCCTGCCATCAGGAAGGGGCCCGGCCTCATCCCGACGGCAGGAGAAGGGAGGGAGGCGGCGGGTGAAGCAGCTTCGAGGCTGCTTCGTCCTCTGCCTCCCTAGGCCCAGCCGGCTCTTCTGCCTTCGAGAAGGGGCCATGAGCTGCGTGCTTCCGCAAAACAGAGCCAGGCGGAGCAGCAGCCGCGTCCCAGGCATGGTGCGCCTCCCGAGCCTCTGCCTGTCAGGGCGGGGACTCCATGGGCTTCCCTGCAAGGCAAGGTGCAGAGGGAGGGGGTCAGTGCGGAGGRAGGGAGGGAGGGGTCTACTTCCACCAGGGAAGCACCCGCSAAGACCCTCCTCCTCTTCCTCCTCCTCTGCTGGGCAAGAACCCCCTCCCTTCACACACACACACACACACACACACACACACACACACACACACACACACATCATCATCATTTGGGTTGTAGATTTTGGGCTGTATGGCTGTGTTCCAGAAGCCTTCTCTCCTGATGCTCTCTCTTTGGTTCCATCCTTCCTTGTCTCTTTCCTTCCTTCCCTCCCTCTTTCTCTTTTTTGTTCCTTCTTCTTCTTTCCCTCTTTCACTTTTTTATTTCCTTCTCTCCTTCCTTCTCTACCTTTCTTTCTTTCCTTCCTCCTCCTTCTTTCCCTCTTTCTCTCCCTCCTTCTCTCCTTCCTTCCGTCTCTACCCTTCTTTCTTTCTTTCCTTCTTTCTCTCCTTCCCTCCTTTTCCCCTTTCTTCTTTCCCTTTCTTTCTCTCTTTCTCTCCCTCCTTCTCTCCTTCCTTCCTTCCTTCTCTACCTTCTTTCTTTCCTTCTTTCTTTCCTTCCCTCCTTCTTTCCCTTCTTCTTTCCCTCCTTCTTTCCCTTCTTCTTTCCCTCTTTATTTATCTCCTTCCTTCTCTACCCTTCTTTCTTTCTTTCTTTCTTTCTCTACCTCCTTCTCTCCTTCCTTCTCTACCCTTCTTTCTTTCCTTCTTTCTCTTATTCCCTCCTTCTTTGCCTCCTTCTCCCCCCCTTCTCTCTTTCCTTCCTTCTTTCCCCCTTTCTGTGTATGTGTTTTGTGTGTGTATATACATAGATGTGTGTGTTTGTGTATATATGTGTGTGTGTGGTTTTGTGCAGCATTGTAATGTATTTTGGGGGGGGGGTTGCTTTTTAAGTCTCTTCCACTGTGTTTTTCAGTGTTTTTATGAGTGATGGTCACTCGTTGGCCTGATAGATATATTTTGTCCAAATTTGGTGTCAATTCGTCCAGTGGTTTTTGAGTTATGTTAATCCCACAAACGAACATTACATTTTTATTTATATAGATTTTTCAAATTATAATCCGGCCCTCCAACAGTTTGACGGACTGTGACCCAGCCATCTGTTTAAAAAGTTTGAGGACCCCTGTGTTAAAGTATTGTGATTATGTGCAGTGGGGCACCATCATGTTATGTAATATGGCCTCTCAATGAATAATTGGCTGCCACACAAGATGCCCTGTTGTTCAGTGGTGCTTCCATCACACACCTAGACACTATTAAAGATGAGGATGTTTATTTTTTAAAAGACAGGCACAAGATATACCTGACTTTTGATATTGCACTGTTCCACATTATCAGAGTACTGTAGCTCTGTTGGAGGCTGTCCTTGTGGTGTCACTAGGCAAAGGCAGCCTGTCCCATTAATTGTTGTTCATCAAAATTGTTGTACAACAGTCATGCTGCTTGCTCCACTGCAGTGGTCTGCCCTCCTGGTAAGAAAGTCATTTATATAAGCCCACACTCCTAAACTGTGTAATTATATGTTGCATTAACATCACTTGCAACAGTGCTTCTGTCCTGGTTATGCTGCCCTCCTGGTAATAAAGCCATTGTGTAAGGCCATACTCCTAAACTGTGTAATTATATGTTGTATTAACATCATCTGCAACAGAAAAGGATAGCTCTATGCATGTCAGTATATCTTGGTTCAGTAGTTTCATCTCATTTGAATTATTCTCATTTGGAGACCAAAATCACCTACCCTTTAGTTATCAGTGGCCACTGGACTGGATAGAAATATTCTGCTGAGGGGGTTGCCCAACAATTAGTCAAGACGACTTTAAATCTAGGGGAAAGAAGCAGAATCCGCTTTAGCAAAGTGTTGGTTTCAATTAGAATTTCACACCAGAGCTGATCATTTTAAAACCATACCTGTTACTTAAGCCTTTTGCTTCTACTCCGGCAAAGACATCTGAACCAATTTCTGAAGTTTCTACTATGAAGGGGGCTTCCTTCTGGTTCAAAAACTTGGCATTCTAGTAACAAAATAAAAGGAGGGATAGGTTAATATACAACAGTGGGTTACTAGATTGGCACAGGCACAAAGCATCCGATCCTGTTATCACTGTAGGTCCTCAAAGGTTTGCCAGACTCTTTTGTTACCTGCAACAGGAAATTCCACAAACAGCCCCCTTCCACCATGACAGCAAGAAATATGATCTGTGCATCTTAAGAATTTGCTTTCACAAAATGCCATGTTCTGCTTGACCATGTCTGGCTGTGTAGAACCCACAACATTTGCTTGCATGAGATATCAAAACAAATGGTGCTGTCTTCGGCAATACGCTTGGTTCCCAAACCTGGCCCAGTAATTCTGGCACCCACAGATTTAAAAATACACACACACACACACACACACATAAGGAATAAGTATGATCTAAGGTAATTGTACATCTAACCATTTTGTTATACTACACCCAAAATATTCCAAAGGCATACGGTTGTTGTTTCTCCTTGCTAAATGGCAAGCTTTAGTGGTAAATCTATTCTATCTGTATGAAATGTATTTGTGGGTTGTTGTAGGTTTTTTTGGGCTATATGGCCATGGTCTACAGGCATTCTCTCCTGATGTTTCGCCTGCATCTATGGCAAGCATCCTCAGAGGTAGTGAGGTCTGTTGGAACTAGGAAAAAGGGTTTATATATCTGTGGAATGACCAGGATGGGACAAAGGACTCTTGTCTGCTGCAGCTAGGTGTGAATGTTTCAATTGACCAACTTGATTAGCATTTGATGGTCTGGCAGTGCCTGGAGCAATCTTTTGTTGAGAGGTGATTAGATGTCTTTGTTTGTTTCTCTCTGTTGTTGTGCTGTTGTAATTTTAGAGATTTTTTTAAATACTGGTAGCCAGTAGAACAACCCAGTGATTCCAGCCATGAAAGCCTTTGACAATACATTGAAATGTATTTGTTATCATCCCCAAACTAAGGATAGTGAGGAGCCCAAATGGATGTTGAAACAAGAATTAAAACACCAATGTGGCATAGTTTTGGATTGTGTGATTTAAATATTGATTCTAGGGTGTTTTAAATACTTTGTTTTAAGGTTAAAATGTTGCATATGTTTTATGTTGAATGGTTTTAATGATTTTAATTTATGATTATATGCTAGTGTTTAGTTATTACATTTTTTTCTTTCTATAGGTATATGGCATTGAGTTTTGCCATTAATATATTGTAAACCACCTTGAGCTCCCCTCAGGGTGAGAAAGGTGGTATATAAATATAGCAAATAAATAAATAAATAAATGTTTAGGGGAATTCTGTCACTGGGAAAATATCAGTTACCTGATTCCCTGGAGAGAATATGTGTTAGAGTATCATGAGGCTGATCAAAATAAATTATTCAAGGTGCAATCTAGCTCATCCTCTGTCAAATCACATCGTATCTTTATTATGTTCCTAGACCAGCATAATCATCCCCTGTCTGAAATTAGACTGAATAAGGCAAAAAGATTTGGGACTGATTTCTATTCAAACACATACCAAAAGAGTAAATTTTTCATTTAAAAGCCTTGTATCATGGGGCAAACATTAGAAAGCAAAGACCGAGCAGAATGAAAATCACAAGAGAAGATTATGCATCTCTTTACTTCAGAAGAGAATTAAGTACATTTCAGGAGTAATAGAAGAAACTCTATCTGTACTGAGGCCTAAAAAGACCTTAAAAGGTTGCTTTTGCCAACACTAATCTATATAAATAAATATAAACAATGTTTGATGTATTGTTTATTGCTTGTGGTTCTTGTTGTTTAATGATGCTTTAATTGTTTTTAATTTGCTTTAAGTGTATTGTTATGTTGTGTATTGAGGCCTTGGCCTTTGTAAGCCGCATCGAGTCCTTCGGGAGATGCTAGCGGGGTACAAATAAAGTTTAATAATAATAAATAATAATAATAATGTTCATTTGTGGGATTAACATAATTCAAAAACCACTGGAGGAATTGACACCATATTTGGACACAATACACATATCAAGCCAACGAGTGACCATCACTCATAAAAACACTGAAAAACACAGCAGAAAAGATTTAAAAAGCCAAAAAACAAAAAATACATTACAGCGCATGCACAAAACCACACACACACACAAATATATACACACATGCAAACACACAAAACACGCATACACAGCCTGGGTCACAGCAATGAGTGGCAGGGGATGGTTAGTGTAAAATATGATCATGTGATCATTTTGTACATTGCTATGTTGTTGTACAGATGGGGTAATATGTAACCCCAGAGTTGTTTTTGTCCTAGCAATTGGAGGTAAAAAAAAAACCCCTCTAAACTGCCCCAAATTTATATCTGGTGAAATAAGAACATTCCCACCTTGGTGTTTCTCCTGGTGGGGTACCTCCTAGTCTTTCCCAGTTGTCTACCTCTGCTTTACATTAACAGAGATCATGTAAGCTGTTAAAGAATAAGTGTACATTTGTAGTCATGCTAGAGAGCACTTGTAGTCACATGAGATTAAGATAGTCTGAGGATGCCCTTCTCTTGATTCCACCACCCTCGCAAGCACAACTAGTGGGGACAAGAGACAGGCCCTTCTCAGTGGTGGCGCCTCGCTTGTGGAACTCCCTTCTCAATGAAATCAGAACAGCCCTCCATCCTGCCTTTCAGAAAAAAAAACTTAAGACATGGTTATGGGACCATGCATCCAAACAATAACTATAACAATGCAATACTTGGGAACTCTTAAAGCAACAGACTAATGAACTGATTCTGGGTTATGATTTTGAACGTGTGTGATTTTAATTGCTGTTTTAACAATTTATGTTTTATTGCTGGTTTTAATTGTAATTGTTATTTTTGGAATTTGTTTGTTGTTGGCCAGTTGTGAAGCCACCCTGAGTCCCCTTTGGGGTGAAATAGATGGAAAATAAATAAATAAATTTATATTATTTATTTATTTATTTATGACATTTATATGCCGCCCTTCTCACCTCGAAGGGGACTCAGAGCGGCTTACAAGTAAAAAGTAAATACAATATATTATTATTATTATTATAGCACAATATTAATATTGTATATTACATTGTACTCTAACATTATACTGTAATATTATTAGCAATATTACATTTAATATTAAATATATAATTATAATTATTAGTAGTAGTGGTATATTGTATTACATTATAATATTATCAATATTATATGTATATGCATTATATTATGTTATGTTTGGTTATGTTATGTTATGTTATGTTATGTTATAAGCACAGTGCAGGAGACAAGATGGAACTGCCTTCCTGGCCCCTCTCTTCATTCTGATCTCAGAGCAGCAGTTGGTGCTGGAGGGGTGTGTGAAGAGAAGAGATGCCACACAATATCAGATATTTATCTAAACTACAGTATAGAAATAGTTGTTGTTAATTTGCTATTAAATTGACTTAGATTTATTATGATCCTAAAAAAAACTAAGACTCCTAGATCTTCAGTAATCTACAGCCCTGCTCCAGTCTTGAAATTCATAACCATGGTTTCTTCATCTTTTCATTTCTATCAGAGGTTTCCATGAACAGATGTGTAAGGAAGTGCTATTTCTACCATATATTTCCATTAAAATACCCCCTCTCCAAGTTCAGGCCCTTAAAGACAATTCAAACAACAAAACCATTACAATCAGTAATCAAATAAATGCTAATATGCTGGTTTGAAGAGATGTGACTTGTCACTCTTCCTAAAAGCAAGTAGTCTGGTAGCTATCCAATTGCTAATCTGTAATCTGAGAGCAGCACAAAAGAAAGCTATCTACTGTTTGTCCATCAAGCAGTTTCTCACAACTAATTGCACCCTCGAGGGGGTCCTTTTACAACATGTAACATCCAAACACATTGATAGTAAGAGAGGTGACCCCTTATATAACCAGCCCACAAGGCATTTAGGGTCCTGTATTTGAAATTAATAAATTGAACTGGGCCCAGAAGTAGTAGTAACACAAGAATCTGCCTCATACTGAGTATTTTTAATGCAACATTGTCAATTGTGGCAAGTAGAATTCTCTAATGTTTTCAGCAGGGCTTTTCCCTCCAAGATCTGGTGGTTTCCTCTAAACAAGGTTGATCCTGATTACTAGCTTTCAAAATCAAGTGAGGCTGAGTGTGTTCAGGGTAGATTGGTGGTGCATTTGGCAACCAGCACAAGAACACAATCTTAACGTTGTGCAGTTATTACTCACTTACTGTTGCATTTTGCACCATTACATTGGACTGTAAGCAGTGCATAGTACCAGAGCTTCTGACAACGGGAAAAGGCCTAAAACATGACACATCATCTGGCCCATCCCCTAAATTTAGTGACAAATGTTATAGCACTCTCTGTTGTGATAAGATATTAATCTTTGTTCTGTAATGTATTGTTTGTTTTTTCACTGTCTTGGCACTCTATGCAAAGAACTTAGTCACGGGAATCTTGTCTACCACCTACTTCATAGCCCTGTATGACAGTCATTGAATAATAACCTACCAAGTGAGGAACATCATACCCTCCAGTTCCTATCTATTTAATTACATATTTCTGTAACGTATCATATACAGGTTGAATATTCCTTCTCCAAAATGTTTGGGAACAGAAATGCTTTGGATTTTGGATTCCTCGCGATTCTGGAATACTTGCATTTACTGTACATAATGACAAATCTTGGCGATAGAACTCAAGTCTGAACATGCAATTAACTGATGCTTCCTATACATCATATAGATGTAGCCTGATATGCAAAATATTTTTATTAATTTTGTGCACAAAACAGAGTGTGCACATTGGATCATCAGAAAGCAAAGGTATCTCAGCTATCTCAGCTATCCATATGGTCTATTTTGGAGCATTTTGGATGTTCAAGTACAAGATACTCAATCTACAACTTTAATCCTTACTGCCATGCAAAAATGCTTCTAGTAAAAACTCTGAATAAAACTGATGTTTTTGTTTAGTGAATAGATACAAGAACCCATGAATTTACCTATTTTCAAAATGTTACCAAATGGCATCTTCTCTTCACACCCCTGATGATTACATAGTTAACACACAGAGGCAGTACTTACAGAATAAAAGTTGAGGGACAACTGGCTTTCAAATGATCCGGAGCTGCCATTCTTCACATGAACTGTTGCCACTCTAAAAGAGGCAGAAAATGTCATATGACTGAATCATACAATATTGAAATTACAGTGAGGCATGTGCTACAAGGTGGCACTCCAGTGAATCAAGGCAGAGTTACCTTTGGTCAAAGGCAGCATGGTTCACCAGATAGTTTGCATGGTAGGTGCATGTAAATGAATAGTTCACAGGCTGGCTTTTCACAATCACAGAGCTGTCATTAGAGACGATTGAGTTATAAAAATTGTAGACAGGGCTTTTAAACTGTAATCATAAAAAGGGAGAGAGGTCATGTTTATACTAGAAGTGCCATTTCGGTTTTCAATGTCATGTCCATCACTCATATCTAATTTTTCTCAGTTTCTGGAATCATAGACACACATTTTTACAAATGAAGAAACAGGAAAAAAGCCCTGTGCCTGCATAAGCTCAGTTGTTAAGATGAAATTGGTGTTTGTTTGTTTTTTTGTTCAGAACATATTATTTCCATGCTGGTTTACACATTTAACAATCTTATGGTGCATACAGAAGGCACATGCACCTTTTTATTTAGGACCTCACCAGACAAAAAAGGGGAAAGTGTGGGACAGTAGAGGAAACCATTTTAGCACCATTAAAGAAATGTAAATAAAATAGGGATGGGTGATGGGTTACTGTTGGTGAGGGGGTGCATCCACTCTATCCTCACTATCTATAAGGGCCTCTTCTAGGTGCTACCCCTATTTAGGAATAGCATACAGACCTTGGAGAGCGCCATTAAAATCTGGATTGAAACTTGGATTGAATTCCCTGCCCAACATCACAAATGTAAAACCACAAATTATACACATGTAGACCTAAAGCTATCTAAAATAATACACTGGCAAGGTATTGGACTAGAGGCCCCATGTGGTCTCTTCCAACTCTATTAATCTATGATTCTATGATTTTTAAACATCTGCAATTTAGACATTACAAATATATTACATATATAGGTAAAGCATCCCTTACACAGAATTTGCAATCCCAAATACTCTAAAACTGTCCACATGAGTGACTGAAATAGTGACACCTTTGCTTTCTGATACACAAACTATGCACCCTTCCCAACAGGCCAAAATCCCGAGGAATCGGGATTTTAAATCCCAGTTCCTCTCGGGATTGAGACCACACATAGGACCCAAACCCCAGGATTTTGCGGAGAGGGGGTGGTGGTACATGTAGTGGGATTTTTCAGGGGAGGGCATCTTCCCCTCCCCCCATTTTCCCTGTAAACTTACCATAGGGGCACCTGGCTGCATCCTCAAGCTCCTCAGATAAAGCTTCTGACACATCGAAATGATGTGTTGGGAGCTTTCTCCAAGGGTCCATTAAGTTTACAGGGGAAATGGGGGGCTGGGAGGGGAGGGTGGAGGTGCTATCCCCCTCCTTCAGGCTTTCAGAACTTGCAGAATTGGGATGGCAATGGGGATTGACATTTGTATCAAAGAAGGTGGTCCTGAGAGTCAATCCCCCCAGGCCCAACACTTTGCCGTAAGTTTCGGATCTGTGGATGTGTTCTTTTAGTTCAGAGTAAATTGGGAAATCCCACTTTACTCCAGATTAATCTGGATTAACCTGAGGCATCCACTATCTCTCATGGGGTTGGGACCTGTCTGGAACAGCCCTGAGTTGTCCAAGATCATCCGGCAGTATTCCATGGCTGAGCATGCATTTGATTTTTGACCTCCTAGTCCAGCACTCAAATCACTACACCACACAATCTATATAAGGTAATATTTATACTTGGTCTACTTACATCTGATTGTGTTCCACAATATGATTTATTTTTGGGTGACAAGTCTGGGATTGTAAACTGGTAATATCCTGAATCATGGATTCCATTGTAGCAAATCCCTCCAAGAGCTAGTTGATTAACTTCCCATCCATAAGGACACTCAGGGATTTTTGTGATGATGGTTTTAGGATAACAGTATACCAAAATTACATCTAAAAGTCAAAAGTGAGATAAGCACAGAGGGGTTTTTTTTGTCATCATTTCATACTGTTCTTGAGCTTCTGTGATCCCTGACTTGCTAGAGTACCATTTGGGGTTGTAATGGAGATGGAGACAGATGGAGGCAAGCACTTTTGCAGGGAAGAGGGCAAAACTGAGTGATTGGCACTACCAGGAATCCTAAGCAAAGCCACAGGAAAGTAATAGGAATGCCTATCTTTTTATCTTGAGGGATGGTTTGTGTCTAGAGGTAAAATTCCACTTGTGTATTTCCATAAACATATTTTAGGTGAATATTTCTTTACAGGGGCTGTAGTTCATCTGTAAATAAAACTATATACTGTACTCTAAAAGTTATTTAATTACAGTAGGAAAAATAGAATGAGATTATTAAAATGAACTTATTTTACCTGCTTTATTTGGGCTGCAAGGAGCTTCTATACCTCGAGCCAAGATGACCCACAGTAGAAAAGCGACCATTAGCATTTTCTCAAAGGTTATGAGACACTGACACAAGCAAATTTTGATTTTATAATTTTTTCCAGACCTTGAGCAGGATCCAATGTCTTACATGTATTAAACTGGTATCTACAGCCTGGAAATAAATAGCAGAATAAAAATATGAGAGTGTCCATCCATAATAATCTGAGGGGCATCCTGAATTTTAAATATGTCTTTACCATATGTTTTTAAGATTGAAAAATTCTTAAATCCTTTTGCCAAAGTACACGTCTATATAATGATAAGGCAATTAATAAGCTTTATGTTGTTTCTCTAACCACCCCCCCCTCCAAAAAAAATCACACACTATTTACACATATTGTGGAAGGGGAAAAGGTAATAGAGAAACTGAAGAAGATATGAAACGGCTAAAGATTTGAAGGAATTTTGGAAAATGAAAAGCTTGAATGGGATCAAACTGGGAAAAAATTATATATTTTACAATTTGTACTTGAACATCTATGGAATTGAGTATCCATGAAAGTTAGTATTCATGGGGAATGCTAGAACTAAAACCCAGTGGATACCAAGGGTCTACCTTAAGTAGTTTAATACCTCCACTTTACTCAAATTAGAAGACCATATATTATTGAGCCACCCATGCAATATTACTTATAATGTTATTTGTTTCATTTTAGAATTTTAGATTGCTGACATTATACAGGGTGGACCAAAAGTCCCAAAGGGTTTTCAATATTTAATAACTATGTTATTTCTTAATTTGCATTTATAATTACAATAGCATAGCATTATATTATATTATATACATAGGCCACTGCATTACATTATATTACATGCAAAATTATTTCATTTTTTAAGTTATTAAAACATCAAACATCTTTGTGACTTTTGGATAACCTGCACAAGCCATTCACTAAATTGCTAGTCATTTCAACATTGCCATTATATTAGCATCACGATCCATTTCTTCATTTATCTCTGTGCTCTATCAAATTCAATTGTGAAAGACATTGTACTTCTAACTCTTATATCATTTCTAATGCATTTCATGTGAAATTCTCAGAAAGATAATTTCAAAGCACCATACATACAGAATGGGGACAAGGCTGCACGTCAAAGGTTGATTCTTCTTGCTTGGAATGGTAAAATAAGGTTAGGTATGCTTTTCCAAGGTGGCTGTACAAATAACACTAGCCAGTATTATCATTGCTTTATATAGGGGATCTTGTAAAATGAGCCTTTGCATATTCAGCCTTGATTATTCCATTTGGAGAAAGCCGGTTGGATGAATAACAAGTTGGCTCATTCACTTTTCCAGTACAAGCATTCAGTTTCAGTCCTTCAGTTCTGGACTTTGCCTTCAGTTTTTGCCTCCTTGGATAAATCACATCACCAGCTGAATCCAAAATTAAAACCAAGCATTACTTTGAAATTGAATATTGTTCAAAGAGAATCCAGACAGTTTTCTAGTCAATGTAATAATGTTTTTTTTAAATCTACTCTAGAAAAGAGCTTTATTCACTACTTTTAAGGATCAAGAATGCTCTAGATTAGTGGTTTCCAAATCTATGGTAATTTTGAACCATTTTAAGTATTAACTTCTAATATTTTGTGTATGTTTCTGCAAACAATTTTTTGTATTTCTGTAACCATATGATTTGAAATAACAAGGAGAAGAACAACAACAGAGAAATTTTAGCTTCTCCTCAACATTTTGGCACACAAATTCATAATGTGTTCCATATTTTTTTACGTTTTAATATGAAAGAGTTGTTTATTGTACCAGCCATAGGCCATGACATCAAATATTATTATTATTATCCTTTAAATAATATATTATTATTATTATTATTATTATTATTATTATTATTATTATTATTATATCTGGCATTTTTAAAGGATCATCATATTTAAAGGAACATTCCTTTTTAAAGGAACTCCACTGGAGCATTGCAGCATACACAAATACCTGGGAATTATCCTGGACCATGCTCTGACCTACAAGAAGCACTGCTTGAATATCAAGCCAAAAGTGGGTGTTAGAAAAAATATCATATGAAAGCTGACTGGCACAACCTGGGGATCATACCCAGATACAGTGAAGACATCTGCCCTTGCACTTTGCTACTCTGCTGCCGAGTATGCATGCCCAGTGTGGAACACATCTCACCACATTAAAACAGTGATTGTGTCTCTTAATGAGACATGCCTCATTATCATAGGATGTCTACACCCCACACCACTGGAGAAATTATACTGTTTAGCTGGTATTGAACCACCTGATATCCGCTGAGAAATAGCAGCCAATAATGAAAGGACATCTCTGGCCCATCCTCTCTTCAGATATTAGCCAGAACGCCAGTGCCTAAAATCAAGAAATAGTTTTCCAAGATCTACAGAGATACTCACAGGAACACCTCGGCAAGTGAAAGTCCAAAAGTGGCAGGCTAAAACCCAGAACTTCAAGCCATGGCTGATATCAAAGGAGAGACTCCCTCCTGGGCACACAGAAGACTGGGCGACTTGGAAGGTACTGAACAGACTGTGCTCTGGCACCATGAGATGCAGAGAAATATAGAAACAAGAATGTATGTATGTGTATTTTATAACACTCTCAAGAAAGTAATATAAATCAGGATTATATGCTCTCTAATGGAGTAAATTGTCTGAGACTTTATAGCATTTAACAGGAATGTTATCAGCACATTATAAGTAAATGTAGATTATCTTGTCAACATAGAGAAATAAACAGTAGACTAAAGATAATAAAGTCCATCCTTTCCTGGAGTCGGATTTCAGTGAAGGAATTCAAAAGTCTCTGTCTTTATCCTCAAAAGAATTCTTCTTTTGGCAACACAGTCTTAAGGAGTACTTCTTAGGCAACAGAGTCTTCCTTAGGTAACAAAATTTCAACAAGGTCTCCCGGTATGTTATCCTTGTTTTGAAAAATTATCTTCTTCAGGATGTAGTCTGTTATCACATTATACTTAACGCACTAAATAAAGGAGTAAAAATAACATACACAATAGATACATGAAACTCCCAAAATCACATTGCAATGTGCTGATAACATAATGTGCTGATAACATTCCTGTTAAATGCTATAAAGTCTCAGACAATTTACTCCATTAGAGAGCATATAATCCTGATTTATATTACTTTCTTGAGAGTGTTATAAAATGCACATACATACATTCTTGTTTCTATGTTACTATAGATATTTGTGCATTGTTTGCTACCATGAGATGCAGAGCCAATCATATGAAATGGGGCCACAAAGTAGAGTCAATGACATGCGAGTGTGGAAAAGAGCAAACCACAGACCACCTATTACAATGCAACCTGAGCCCTGCCACATGCACAATGGAGGACCTTCTTATAACAACACCAGAGGCACTCCAAGTGGACAGCTACTGGTCTAAAGACAGTTAGTATAATGCCAAGTTTTTTAAACGTTGTGTTTTTTAAATACACTACAACTGTACCCTCTTTTCACTTCTGATATGATAAATAAATAAATAAAGGAACACCTAAAATCGTTCATTTAGGTAATTCTGTCTCAATATTTTAAAATTTGAAGTAAATTAATATTTCTTTCAGACTCTAACCCATTTAAGTTGGTAACTTCACAATCACTATCAGAAACAAATGCCTGAAGTATCATTAAGTGGAGGCCATTTTCAGTAAATGATACCTTTCTACTCATCAGAGAGTTCCACAGTACAATTTCTGCTACAGAGTGGAGTTGTCTCTAGATGTTTTTTATTTGCATAAGAAATAAGAACTGCATGAAACGTACTTAGGTGAAATGGCATTTGATATCTGCATTGATAAAGGGTGAAGACCCTAGAGAGGTTTCCATTTCTCTGAGTAATTGCAAATAAAAAGAGCATTCATTGAAAAGCAAATTATACACCAAATGCTAATTGCACAGCCCAAGAGGGCCCCTTTAGATTAAGCAGATTGCAAAACCTTAACTATGAGAGTAGCTATAATGAATTCCAGAAAATGCGAATAAATGGCTTCCTTTTATTATAGACTTAGAAAGCATTCTGAGAAATACCTTTTCAATATGTCCTCATTTTAATCACTGTGACTTAAAAAGTTGTGTTATAATTTGCTCTTCAATGAAATAGCTGTCTTAGGGCTTGTTCTTATGAGACAATTATGCAGGGACCAGTCTGGAGAAAAATTATCCAGGTTGGTTCTGGAGACTGCAGAAATATTTAGAGGCTTTGCCTCTGATCTTTGGAAGCCAGAAGTCGATATCATCCAATTGGGCTGAAACCAGTTCAGGTCAGCTGGACTGCTACAGATGGCCAGGGAGTTCCAGGTCATTGTTGAGTGCTTTTGCCTTTTTCAGCAGAAGGAATAATGGCACCAGTGTGTGTTAACAGATTTTTAAAAACAGACACAGGATGTCCACTAGAAGTTTTATTTTAATTTTTATTGACTCTTGAGAGATGCACTGGACCTCATAAACCATGAATCCCCAAACTAAGACCTGGGGGCCGGATACAGCCCTCCAAGTTCATATACCCGGCCGTGGCTCAGGGTCAACCTAAGTCTGAAACTACTTGGAAGCACATAACAACAACAACAATCCTATCTCATCAGCCAAAAGCAGGCCCATACTTTCCATTGAAATACTAATGTTTATATTTGTTAAAATTGTTCTTCATTTTAATTATTGTATTGTTTTTAAGTGGGGTTTTTTTTTTTGCACTACAAATAAGATATGTGCAGTGTGCATAGGAATTCATGTTTTATTTTTTTCAAATTATAATCCGGCCCTCCAACAGTTTGAGGGACTGTGACCTGGCCTTCTGTTTAAAAAGTTTGAGGACCCCTATCATAAACGCTGATGTGGATATAAGAATGGGCACACAAGCAGATTTTTTTTGTCATTATCTGCCTTTACGTTTGCTTTCTTGAACCTCATTTCCCTTTGGAGTCACTTGTCTGCCATGATTGTGCCTACTGTGTAAATTCAGGTCTATTTAATTTCATAAATGTGAGAACAA